CACCCGTGACCGTTGAACGAACGAGTGCACGAACTGACTATATCTATATATGACAATAATTTGTCCTTCTTTGTGTGTTATAAGATATAAACAACTTGATGAATATTTTTTTACTTCGATTCTTTCCGCCGAGCGGTTCGAATGATTGCCGCTAGATGGCTCGCCGATTTTACTTTCTCGCAAGTGATTGGTCTGTTTTGCATAAATTAATTTTGAATTATAACAAGTATTCAAGCGTTCAAAAGCAGAGATCGTTTAAGATTGAATTATCATGGCGAGTCCAGCAGACCATCTTCTCACGATATTATTTTATTTATCTTATTATACAGCTCTTCTTTCGATCGTATCTTTTTTTCTCCGTGTGATAAGCTATCGTAACGAACTAAATTCCCCTAGCATTTTAAAAAATTCATTATATGATAGGCAGATTTCTAACGATAACGTTAATAACACGATATCGCGATCACAGAAAAGGGCGTCTCGAAAGTCCAACGTTTACACACTGGTTCTCACGGGTTCCCGCGAAAGGGAGTTCGTTTCGCATAAATTAACTCGAGTAATTATGGGGCAATTAAGAGAGGGAGGGCGATAGAGGCGGCGTAATTAATTAACACCGTATACGTGCAACGTGAAATTTTCAAACGAATATACCTATCAGCCTATTTAGTCCAGTGATCTAGTTTCTCGTTCCACGATCCCTGCCTCGATTACTCGACTTCTCTTCCTTCGCTCTCGCTTCGTTTAAATAAGAAAACCGTTCGACGTAATTGCGGATTTTTTTTTCTTTTCGCCTCGATAACATCTGCGCCACGTATAACATTTCATACGAGCTCGCGGCACCATTCGATTTCTCGATCGATCGGACGAAAATCGATCGGCGTTACACGCGCCACGAGGGCGCGCCGCGTGAAAAATCGGGCCACGGAAAAGGGCGTGTGGAACAAGGTGGATCGTGTCACGCCGCCGAGCAAATTGCTCCAATGTCCCGTATCGGCCGTGAGATCTATAACAATAACGGTTTCGATTACGTTTTACAACATGTGTACCGTGTTTTATCGCTGGGCGAGGTGTCGGTGCAGGGGGCCCGATAAATGCACCGACAACACAGGTTGGGCAACAACACGGGGCCCGGATCGGCCTGGGGCGAGATTGGTGCAACTGCTCTCGCGAAGGGTAACGAGTAGAAAACGCGAGAGAGGATCGAGACCGCAATACCATTCACGCGAATTAACCGTCCAAATGATGTGTAATTTTCACATAATTAGTCGCCCTCCGGGTATTCCATTATGGAATACACTTGCTCGTTGATTAATTAAATTTTACAATCGGTGAACCTTGCTGTTACGCCTTGATGTACAAATATTTTAATTACGCGAATTTAAGATATTTAAGATATTCTTAAGACGAAATAAAAAATTTTCTCCCCTATCTTAGAAGAAACGTAACGGTTAATATATATAAAAAAAAATGTCCTATTTTATTAAATTATAAACAATTTCAATTAGACGGAGAGAATAAATAAAGTACGACGGGGATAAAGCTGTTTCTGTAATTCACGTAATTCAATAATACATAAAAAAGAAACGTTCGAAATTATTCGTAATACACTTCGTTCACAATTACGCGCGTACAATCTTCTCATTCCTTCCTCCGAGACGAAATATCGCTCGCCTTGAAACAGTGGAAGTTACTTTCACGATTTTCGTCGCATCGACCCAATTAACGGAACAGGAGAAACCTTTTCACCGATTAACCCCACACTCGATCGATCTCCGAAAATCGCTCTTCTCCAATTTCCAATAAAAATCGAGTCCACTCGTCAATCCTACATCATCTTCTAAACCAAAACTCTCTCTTTCTATCTCTCTCTCTCTCCTTCTCTCTGTCCATCGCACAGTCTCTGGACGCTGCAAGTAGAAGACGTATATTCCCACGAAAGAAGAAAAACCCTTGGGATCGGCTCGTTACGATCGGTGGCCGTCGGTGCACGACGACCAACATCACCGACAACCACCACTCAACGCGATTACCATCTCTCCAGGAGCGTGCACGCTCGCCGTCCACCGAGTCTACACGCACTAAGGCCGCTCCTAGGCGTTTTTTCGCCGGAGGATCCTACGTGCTCGAGATCCTGGATCTGACGAGGGCGCTGAAAGCCACGTCCCCGCCAGTTTTATGCGGCCACGATACGTATATACACGCGGCATTGCGTCTACTACGTGTCCCGCATGAAACCGGCCGCGATATGTCCCGATGATCGTCCAGATATCGTCCAGAGCGAGTGCGACGTGTTGGACGCGGCGAGCTTATTGCGACGAACGAAGAATCAAAAGAGAAAGTTTGTATGAATGGAAAAATGATAAATACGGGATAATATCATGCATCGAGAGAGACATTCATCGGGAAGAATGTGTACCTTTTGCATTTTCTATTTAATTTGATCACTTTTAAAGAAGATATATAGCTCGAAGTAGCTTACACTGGGTGTCTCATCATCGACGTGACTATTCTTCCGATACCCTTCGCAAAATAAGAACTGCATAATACTTTGCATTATGATAATATGGACAGAAAATGTTTCTTACAAATTCTGGAAAATTTTTCAGAATCGTACGCCCTGGCCAACGCTCGTTTTCGGCTTCTCAGAGAGATTCATTGAGTAACGCGGCCCTGTTTCACGCGTTTCAGCCGCGATACGATTTATATACATCGGTTACGCAACGAGCGGTTACGATTCTCGATGTGGAAAGCGCGTCCGACTGGGAATTACGTCGGAACGACTCGTGGGGACAGTGTTCTCTCTCTCTCTCTCTCTTTCTGGACAACGCGTTACGTTCCCGATCTCGAATTCAATGGAGGAGGCTAGTAGAATGATGTACGATAGCGAGAAAAACAGAAGGGAGTTAATTACGATTATCCATAAAAGGAACGAGCAGGAACGTTTTATCTGCATCCGGATGCGGTGCAGATTCGAATGGTGGTCAGGGAAACGAGGAGGTCTTCCCAATAGATGTGTTACCAGAGAATATCGTGACGCACGAGATAAACGCGTTTTTAATGTTGAACAGGGAGGAAGAGCCGTGGAGAAAGCACAGTTGGATATTGCATCGGCTCGTAATTAAACTAAACCGACATTTCCTCGCCTCGATGCGGTTACTTTCTCCATCGTGCAGGAAATCGATCGTAAAACTCCGTCATTTACCGTTCTCATCTACCGGAGACGATTTATGCTTCCTCCTCTTGTACTTGTACCCCGTGCAACTCGCGTCGAGGTGGATGCGTGTGTTATTTTTCATATAAATAGCTCGATTGGGAAAATTAATAAGATCGCCAGACGGCGCCAACTACAGATAATGGTTATCGAGGAGTATTGAATAGTCGTGGACGATCCTTTCTTAGGGTGTGCACCGGCTTCTGGTGTGTCTGCACTCCGTTTAACGCCTGTTATCACGCTCGTCGAACAAATACCGATTATCGAACCGGCGCGAAACGATACATATTCTCGTAACGCGAACAACAATACCCTTATATAAATCAAGATAGCCGCCTACTGATATTAGTTTTCTGTAAATATAGCCGGTGTGTCATCGATTGCGATCAGATTCGCGATATCATTCAAGAAACGGAAACGACAATTTTTGATCTTCTGAAGTGTTATATCAATACAATGATATAAATTCGCGATAACGTTAATTAAGAATCGAGCTATTCCATTTTTAACAATTTGTCTGTCCTTTCAATCTTTCCGCAAAAAAAGATCGTTTGATTAATCTACAAAAGATATACTCCATCGATCTGTAATTTATCATTAATTACTGGAAATAAAAAGAAAGACTATTCTGATGATACTCTTTCTCAAAAATTAATTTTCTCGAGAACGAAGTGACGCCTCGTTTCGAGGAATCGCTTTACGAGAGAGATAAGGACAGATAATCAAATATTTGAGCGCGACGATCGTGTCAGTTTCGCGAGGTTCGCGAAAAAGATAAGAGACGACGATTAAACAATACCAGGTGAGGGGTATTATCATTGCCAAAAACGGAGGCTGACGCGGATTGTGCTTCGGTATATTGCGTACATGCGCCACGCCCCCGCCCTATCCTACGTGCATTACAACCGCGAAGTTCGAATTCGGAAGTCGTGTAGGTGTGCTCTGACTCAGAGATCGGAGTCTTCGCTCTCCGGTTCGATTTCCAATCGCATCCGGCTTGACTTGGTCAGGAATATCCGTGTTCGGTCACCGTGGAATTTTAATAAGGAAAAATGTCCCATCTAGTTAGCGGCGTTCCTGTACGCCCTGGAATTTGCCTTACATTTTATGCGATGCGATTTCGAACGGTAAGAAGCGATAATTTATTACGCGTCCAATCTACGTTTTCTCTTATTACTTAGATAGTGCATTTATGGAAAATTTTAAATTCTGTAAAATGTATAACGTATAAAACACACGTTTGAAAGTTTGAGGATGAATTATAAATTTTCATTTATGCTCCACTTCTTTAATTATGATGAAAGTGTAAATTTGCACAAACATCCGCGATTCATTAATCTATTTCCTTCAATTTCTATAATTTTTGAACGTTGATTCCATTTTTCATTTCACGTAGGATTCGTTAAGTGCGATAAATTCGAAGATACGCACGATTCAATGTTAGTAATTGATCCGTAGAGCAAACTGAACCGGAACGCGTAAAAATTCGTAAAACACTATTAAACATCGTTATGCGACATTAAACATTAATGACAAGATAAGGGGATTCTTTTGTCGTTGAGATTTGATTAATAAATCCGTGGAGGCCACTAACCTTACCTCGTTAGAAAATACGGAACTTTATTACCGATCGTTGGTAAAAATATCAACTTATTCCACTGGCGCGCTTAACATTCGTTCTATGAAATACAAAATTGAATTCAACAAAACAATGATTTCTAAACTTTATTACCTTTTCTTTCTAAGAAGATTTATTGTGCTTACGTGAATAAAAAATGATAAAACTCACCATTGTTGTAAACTTCCGCGTTGACCAACGTTTCCTCGTCATCCGTATCCGGTCCAAGGGACACCGGAGTGTACACGATCGAGTCTCGTGCCCTCATCGTGCCGAATTTTAAACAGACGATTTTTTTCCCTTAGAATACATCCGCGAACGACCTGAAAGAAAAATTACATAATTACAAAAAAAAATAAATTCGATTTGTTTGTTGTCTCACGTAAGTGTGTCAAAGATGTGTTCGTTATTTATAGTATACTTTCCAAAAGTTCGAGACTCGTAGATAAAGAATAGAAACGGAGAAGTTCGAAGAATTTGAATGGAAGGAAAAAGACGAAATAGCGGTGCATTGACTTACGCGGTAGAATTCAAAGCTTGCGGTGCGGCTGCGCAACTGTGTCGTGACTCAGAATGCCAAATATAGTATTTGTTGGGATTTCTTTGGATTTTTGACGAAAGTATATTGCTACTCTCCACGATTTTTTCCCTCTTTACCGATTAAGTTTAACAAAAACTGATAAATTCCAGGGAGTAAAAGTTGTTCTCTCGCAATACGAATCCGGCTGCCGCCATTGAACCCGTGGATACATTTTATCACGTTTATAAAAATAATTTCCGCTTTTATCGATAGTGAATAAATAATATACGGTGAAATTGAAATTGAATATAACTCCCGTCAATCGTAAACCTACTATCCATTTTATGGAAATTATAAATAACGTGCCAGGAACTCGTTAATACCGTTATTCGATATAATATGGGCGCATGTAAGCGTTGCATTACCAAAACGAAGATTTCATCATGCACATACATATTTTATTCGCGAGAACTTCACTCAAACGTTCGCACGATTTGCATATTGGAATGAAATTCTTGGAATTAAAATTATCTTATCCGCTTATCGAGCATAATGATATATGCAATATTTTGCATGTATATGTACATTTTTAACAATAAATTTAAATAAACCGGAAAAACAAATGATTCAAAAGGTTACTAGGAAATTTCTCGAGATAATAAAGATTTAGTTTATTTTTCCCTCTACTTCGATGATCGTGCAAATGTTACGCGTTGTCCCATATGTTCATTCCTATACCATTTCGACCGACATGCGCGTCCTTGTACCAAAAATGGCAACCCCTCCAGAATTTAAGTCAAACAAGCCGATCCCTGTTTCACGTTTTGTATATTTAAAATATCACAAAGAAAAATTTCGTTATCGAAGATTCATAATATGCGAATTGAGTCGTCTTTGAAATACTTCGTTAATTAATCATCGACTTTTCCAATAAATATTCCTTCCTGCGTGTAATGACTGAGTAAGAGACAAGAATGAAGCCAATATTTCTTTTTAGATGCGTTTCTGGATTCTTTCGATCTTACCACACAGCGCAGCGGCGTTGTAAAGAGTCGCGTTTAAGAGGCTTGGAATTTTCTTCATTAATAAACGTATCGAAATGATTCGTTTTTCCCCTAGCAACCGGTTTCCTCGTGGATGCATTCACGAGTCGTCTTCGTATTCGAGATCTATTTCGGGTAGAACGACCGCCGTCGTCTCGACGCACCGGTAGACGTCATTCTTCCAAGATGCGATCACCGAACGAACGCCGCCGTCATTATGTCTAAGAATGTACCGGCTGTCGGTACATGACTCTATTGCAAACAATATCGAACAGTTGCGAAATGCAATGTAAATCTCAAAGGTTTTCCACGTTGTCCGGATAAGTGAGAAAAAAATTTTCAAAATCAAACTTGAATCGAAATATAGAATTCGTTTAAATATAACATTTCCTTCTTTTTCTTTTCCTCCTCGTTACAATTTATAAGTGCTCTAATGGTAACCGAAAGATTTAGATCGATCGATCATTTCGAAAGAAAAAAAAAAAAAGAAAAAAAAACAAGTTCTCAGTTTATTCCCTTTTGATGGCTAATTTAAGGCGCATAATTTCTCTCGGTCTTTGTATGCCGGAGCAGCGGATGCACGTGTATATACCAAGCACAGAGCGGTGGTTGTAACCACGCCTTTAGGTTCGCGGGGGGTCTCCGCGGCGGTATACATGGAACAAAGAAAAGGAAGAGAGAGGACTAAATATCTCGCTGCTCGATTTCTGCGAACCGTTCCAGGAATTGATATTTTTAAACGCGGTTGCATTTAGGATCAGAGCCGTCTGAGGCCGACGTCACTGAAGCGTCTGGGGGAAGAGATTCTCCGCAGTCATCGTGTGGACCAGTTCTCGAGATTGTTTTCTATCGCCCAGGTATACAATTTCGAGACTCCCCCGACAATTGCGCGACGGAAGGACGCGACGACAAAAAAGAATTTTTCTATTCTTAGGAGACACTCTCCCCCACCCGGGATCGCGTTCTTTCCTCTCCTTCCGCTCCACGTCGAGGCGAAAGGAAATCATCGATTTTATTTTACTTTTTCTCCATCTTCTTCCACGTTCCTTTTTGCTCCCGTTCTGCTAACGGCGCCACGGATGAAACGGAATCGTGTCGGAAGTTTCGTCTCTTAAGAAATAAGAGACCATCGAAAGGAGAATAAATTAAAAGAAAAAAAAAAAAAAAAGAAAAAGAAAAAAGAAATTGCGGAAATTCTTGAAACCTTCCTTTGCCATATTTACCAACGACCTTTGGCATACGCGTGCATAGGGATTTGTTGCTATAATTAAATCACCGGAAGCGATCCCCCGATAACGTCATCCATTCCTGGCCGGAGAAAAAAGATACGAGAACCGAGACTCTGATACGTTATTCGTATAAACACGAATGCCGGAGGGAATGATACAGCCGGTGGAAACGAAATAATTCGTGCGATCGCACGCGATTGTTGTAATTGATGCGCGACTGGCAACGTTAACGACAGGATGCATCGTTTGCGTCTGTTTCGCTCCAGATCCTGTCAATGAGTTCTCACGAGACGCGTTTGCTTCGTCCCCTTGGGAATCGTATCATCGTTCGTTGCATTTCATTAACGAAGATTTCGAAAACGTGGAACGTACATGATGCGAACAAAGGTTACTTACGTAACCTTTACTTTCTTTCTTTTCAAAAAATTTCATTTCAAAAAAAAAAAACGATTACTCCAAAAAAATCTCTTCCAGAAACATCTCTCAAGATTGCCGTGGAAAGAGAGCGCAAGCGCGACTCTTTAGACTCTTTAGATTTATAAAGCTCAGAGATAAATTTCCAAGCTTTTCGACCGCCAAGGCGGCGAGCCTTTCAGCCTGCTCTCGATGCTCTCCCGACCCTCTCGAGTTGAACGAACTTGGCAGAGCACGCACCTCAACGACACCCTTCACGCCTCGAACGCCACTTACTAATTCTCTGCCCTTCGCACCCACGCACGCACGTGCCCTCGGGGCTAATGCAATAACGCGGTCGGAACTTCTGTCAGGGGCTTAACCCTACTTGCACGTGGTTTATGCGCGTGCTGGGCCCAGAAGGTGACGAGAACATACGTAAATCGCTACCGACCTTACTTCCTGGTTATATTTAGCCTTTCCTAACTCCAAGATCGAATTTCTTACCGGGATAAATCGGTTCGAGACTCGATCCGATCGAGTCGTCTTCGATCTATCGACTTCCATTCCATTCTGCTTTCGAGAAACAAATATAGAACGAAATATGCTGGTCCAGATACCTTCATCATTTGGAGATTATTGCAACGAATCGGTTCGATCGGATCTACTTCGTTCTGCTTTAGAAGAACGAAATTTTATTTTCACAGGAATTTTTTCTCTGAATTCGCGACGAAATCGGTTGAAATCGTTTGATTAGGATGTTTTCGATCCATAGACGACTATTTATTGAATTCCATTCCATCCTGTTTTCGAGGAACAAATATAGATCGAATGCCGGTTCGGATATCTCCCCCATTTTCAGATGTTCAGATGTTCGTAGGTTTTTCCTCTGATTCTCTTTTTCACTTGATGCATTCCCTCGACCCCTTATTTTCGAGACTCATCTATGCTAGACGTTAATGCGGGGCACGCGCGGCTGCAGGATGACAGACACGTGCGCCTCTGTCTATGAAATTGTCAAACCTACTTACACCAAGCACTGTAGGGCAATCTGATCGATTGTCTAGCTTGTTAAAATGTTTCTAGCTTGTTAAATTGATCCTGAATACAGGATCTTTTAAAAGGATCGTGTAATATAATACAAAATTATATTTATTCCATTTTCCTTCCACCTCGTTATCTCTAAAATAAAACCACTTAGTCGAACACTTAGACTTTCGATTTAAAAGAAAAATATTCTCATCGAATCAAGACTTCGCAATATTTCTTACAATTCTCTTAAATTCTAAAATAATTATCTTCCGACTCGAATGAAAAGCATTCCTACGATCATCGTCCCGGATTTCTCGCCGTGATTTTTCTTCACTTCACACTTCGAGTATTCATATTCGACTCGTCCATCATTTTTGGCCAGGAGGACAGAGAGGTAGGAGACGTCTAATGACCCGGATGAACGAGCGTTGGCACGCGCCCGCGCCGAGAATCGAGGGTATCGAGTCCCGGCCTCCGGCTGCTCGCAAGAGGGTGCCTACTAGTAACTGTAGGCAGCCGACAAAAATAGCACCCCGATGCCGTTGTACCTACGGATGCAACGAGCATTAGCATCGACAGAACGAGGGGAGAGGGAGGGATTCAGACGTGGCGGCCGCCCTTCGCCACGCAAAAGGGACTTTGCTCCAACGAGGGATCATCGCGTCGTAGAGGAAGCTCTATTTCCGCTCTCCACGCTCCCTCGAGGCCCAATCGCGTTGCCCGATATCACGTTCGCGTGTTATAAAACGCGTGAAAGAATTCTCCCTGTGCACGGAGGAAAAAGTGAAGAAGAAGAAGAAGAAGAAAAAAAAAAAGAAAAAAACTTGTATTAAGTGGAACCCACAAGAAGATCTCGTTAGATATCTATGGAAATAGGATAGCATCTAGGAAATATGGATAGCAGAAATTTTGATTTTTTTTTTATCTTCCAGTGAAAGAATAAATAGGGGAATCGTATATAGATGAAAAAATGAAAAGAAACTCGATCGGGCAAATTTTGTGGAACGAAAAATGCGAACGAATAAAATGGATCCCACAAGTTTCCTCCAATAGAAGATACGTATAACGATCGATGGAACGAATCAAAACCTGTCAGCTGATCGAAGCTTGATCGAAGCTTGGTTGGAGAGCGATACGCTCTGAGAATAGAATCTTCCAGTCGTGCTTTGAATGAAAACAAACGGATCGATCGTACGTCTTTGATGTTTAACAACGAGTTAACGCATAACAGGAAGGGGAACAGATCCCATCGAGATTGTTTCGCGTTGGCGTAAAAAAGATCGGACGGGAGCAAGGAGACCGGATTCCCCTTGGAAGGACGAACGATTTTAGCCAACGGGGAGAAACTGTCTGTCGAGTTAAAGGCACGTCGAGAACGCGGTCCAGCTTGGAATCTCGAAAAAAAGGACCCTTCAACGCATTCCCCTTTTTTCCATGTGTACAAGCCGTGATCGAACGTGCGGAAGCTCGCCAGTTATGCACCTTAAATCCGCCAACGAAAAAGAGACTGGTCGGCGGTGGAGACTGTGGGACACAAAAGCTTACCGGTGTGTTTCAGCCTCGAAATAGCAGCAGCGTCGGGACGTCGACTCTCGGGTTATCTCTCGCGTTCCACGGAGCAACGCCACTTTCCTTCTTTCTCCTCTTCTTTCGTCCTCCTCCTCCTCCTCCTCCTCTTTCACTCTCGATCGAATCCCTCTAATCGCGTTGATTAAAAAAAAAAAAAAAAAAAAAAAAAATTGCCACGTCCTTCGATTTCGTCGGAAGGACGAAAGCGTTTAAGCGTGTTTAATTATTATCAGGATAAATATTAGGAACGAGATAGACGTTGTGTCGAACGTGAATTCTCGAGCGACGAACCGTTCCACCCCCGTCACCCTCCATTCAGAGGAACACCGAACCTGACGACGCGTTCTCAACGACTGCACCACGTTGCCCCCGTTCTATCCGAGCCACGGCAAAGCTCTCTCGTTTGTCCAGAAGCTTTTTTTTCTCTTCCTCGCTCGTTTCCCCACCAGCCCGGCTTTCCCCTACTATTTCCTCGACTCGACGGGGTGGAAACCGAGGGGATCCCCGATCGATCTTCCTCTCCAAATCTTATTTCACCCGTTTTTGGTCGATTTCCAGGCTGATTTTCCAGGTGAACGAAACAGTTTTATTCGAAGAGTTGATTCGATACGTGGAATCGAAATAAAGATTGTATTGTAAAAGAGTTTTGAGAGAATTTTTGAAGATGATCGAAATGTTTATTTTATTTATAACGATTTAACTTTAAATATATTTGAAATTGGAATCTTTTGATATCTTCTTTCTTCTGCATATTCTCTTTTATGTGGTAATTTTTTAAAGAAATTTTTAGATTTTTCTATTCAAATCGAGTTGGAATAAAGAAGAGTGTATTGTAAGTTGTAGTCTGATTATGACGGAAGAATTCATTTAAACGTTCTGAGATATTATGTTTCATGAATAGAAATATGAAGAATTTATTTAATTAAATTTAATTGATCCCATAGTGAATGAAAAACGAAATGGATGAAAATTGTATTCGATGTATTTATATTCTTAGATTCCTAACCTAATCGTCAGTTATTTTTTCCAAGTCCTTTGTCTTCTCGTGAGTTGCATATCCGGCGGAACTAGTGATATAGTTTTTTCATCCGTCTGTTTTCGAAGCTTCAAAGATTATTAGCATTTTTTCCTCTTCAAGTGGAAATTGTTTTGAATAATCGGTTAAAGAATAATCAATCTTTTGTCTTCTAATTGCTTCTATTCATTTTTATTGTTACTAATTAATCAATTTAACAAAGAAATCTTTGGTGTCGAAATTAAAGTGATAAAGTGATGCAAGTAATATATAAAATTTTTTTATTCGTTATTCATTATCTTCAATACGATCTTTCAAGTTATACCTCATAGTAATCAGCAAATATGCATGTCGATAAAGTTTTGTTTGTTCTTATACACTGGACCCCAAGAGCCATACTTGTCATTCTTGTTCTGCGATTGTTGAGGTCGCTGTTGGTGTGCTGACGATGCATTTTTGTTCTTTCTACGCATATAAAAATTAAAAAAAAAAAAAAAAAGAAGAATGTTTATTATATATATATATATATAAAGCATAACTAAGAAGTTTAACTGTTGCGCTATAATTGTTTATTCTGAGTCAATTCTAATTTTATCTTTTCTCGTTTTGATTTATTTTAAGTACATAAAGTGTTAGAGGTGGTTCAAAAGTAAAGAAGAATAATATTGCTGTCATCAGATGTGACTTTATAGAGCAAAGGATTAAAATATTTAAAACATTAAGATATTTAAAATATAAGAAAATTTCTAGCATACCTCGTATCTTCGTAAGGCCCTTTGATGAGAATATCGGTGTGAACCATTTTGACTCTTTTCGCTTCCTTTTTAAAATGAAAATTGTTCTACCTTTCTTCTACCAGCTTCTATCGATTTTAAGCCAATTAAAACCGATACGCAGCACTTCCACTTTAATTTCTGACACTATCAGATTCACTGATCTTTTTTTTTATCTGAATAACATTGATTTATAAAGTATTAATTATTATATTATTTTTTTTTCCTAGTTTTTTTTCTTATGTAGAAAATAGTACTTACTTTATGGTACGTGATGCAAATGAACCAAAACTAATAATTCTAGACGATTTCCAGCGTTACCACATCGACTCCCTTTGCGAGTTCGAAGATTTTTAGCAAGCCTGCAAAAAAAATAATAATAAAAGTCATTAATAATATTCAGAAATTTTCAAAAATTCGTTAAACTATTCTATAAATGTATAATTTATTAATTTATTAAAATTCTTCAAACATTCTTCTACAAGAGATCGTAATAAAAAAATTTATCTGCAATCGTAATAATAAAAAAAAGAATGCAAACAGGTTTCAAGATTTTTTTTCAACAATCCTCTGTGTGTATTCCACATCATCATAGACTCGAAACAAATAAATGTTCTACGCAATTTAAAAACAAGAATTGAAATGTGACGTGCTAGAAGATCGAGGTGTAAAACCTGTTCTCATGATTCTATGCTTACCTAACACTGGGTAAGAATGTCGGAGAATTTCCTTGACAATCCAAAATCTTGCACCTCATCGACACATAGGTCTTCTCGATTACTAGAAAATATTACCACGGTTGTCTTTTTAATTCGAATTTGCTTCAAATCAATTTCGAACCGATTCACTTTTTCCTTTTTCTTCTTCTTTTTTTTTTTCTAATTCGATTGGACAAAGAATTCCTCAGATCATAGACGTCGACACGATGTTCTCAAGAAGACTACAGGTTCTCTTGCGATTCCGTGGCCGCTTACATAGTCTCCGCGTGCCCCCTTCTTCGCGTATCAAACATCGAGTGGGGAGATGTTGATCGATTCAAATCGTAAACGATAGAATTGTTTTCAAAATCGGTTTTGAAATCGATCGATTTTGATTAATATTATAAGCAATGTGCATAAGTTAACAAAGATCTCGATTATTATTCATACAGGAAAATCTTATTCTAATAAATTCTAATAAATTTCAATTTTCAATTTCAATTTTCAATTTTCACATTTACACGGAAATGTATGTATTAAAAGTGTAACACTTTGTAATAAAAAATATTAGAATTTTGTAAGATTTTTGTAGAATTTTGTAATATTTTTTTTTTTTTTGTATTATATGTGATATAAAAAAATTTGAGCAAATAAATCGTAACGTATTTATAATTCTCTTTTGGATTTTCTTTGGAGAAGAAAATTTCATTGTAGAATCTAGTATATACGCTGGAACTATTATCATTCATCCTAAAATAACCTGCACGTTCTTTTTGAATCTAGAAAATTTCGGAAGTCATGGCTGCTGAACTTTAGGGTAAAAAATGAGACACTTAATAGTCGTAAAGTGTCGTCACTCGTCTATTTCATAAATCAATTGTGCATCGATTTTTTTTTTTTTAAGATTGAAATATTTCCTGAAAATCGGTTCCAGTTCTCCGTAAGTTAGAATTAATTATGGAATATTTTTTTATTCGATGTAAAATAGATCATAAATGTAGAATTTAGTGGTAAAATCATCGCCAACACCCATTTCAACGATACATTATTCATTCAGGAATAACATACTTAACTTGCATCTACATGCAAACTAGAATCTGATGCAACATCAATCCTTGATTTCATCAGATGGTTGTTTTAAAACCACCGAAACTCTCGATAAAAAATATCAATGAAAAAATGCTTGGAAAGTTTTAAGCGTTTTTATTTTAATTCGATATTTGACGATAGATTTTTACGTTTTGATTTATGTATTGTTTTATATTGTGAACATTATAATCTCGATGAAATATCATTTCGATAGATTTTCGAAGAGAAATCGATGGCATGAATCATTAAAAAATATTTTCTAATGTTTTATTTTATCTATCTTTTATATTGATGCCGATGATGATTAACATCGGCCAGATATAGGATAAACAAAACATTTAATGAAACTTTATATCTCATGTTTTGAAATACCGATCTTGAATAATATATTTTTAATGATTTAGAATAATAAGTACAGGAATTATATTCAATTATATAAGTTTGTGAAATTTTTGAAAATAATTTCTTTAATACATTTTTTCATAAATATTTTCAAGCATTATACTTGTATATTAAATTATATTTAGTGATATTTTAATTGTTACGAATCTCAGATAAATTTTAATATTATTAATAATATTATTGATAAATTGAATTATCGATAAATTAAAAATTTCACTTTATATTTTTTATTATAACAATAAAAGTAATATCAATTTATGATATTATAAATATATGTTCCTTATAATATATAGAAAAAAATTTATATATACATAAAATATATATATTTTTTACAATATATAAAAATATAAAAATATATATGTATATGACAAAAATAGATACATATAACATGCATCGAATAAAATTTATTGATTTTTAATTAATTATAAAAGAGATTATAAAATTAATCAAATATTGAAGCTGTCGCTTGAACATATAAATTTTACAAAATAAATAGAAGATAAACAAAGAGAGCAAATAGTAGAAGAAGGACAAAGATAGTATAAAAATATTGAAATCAGCGCCATCTTCAGAGTGCCGTAAATGAAACTCAGAAAGAAAGGATAGAAAATATTAGAAAAAGGATAGAGATAGTGCAAGAATTAACATTTAGCACCATCTCTTGAATATTAAAGACATCTCTTTAAAGGAGGATAAAGAATAGAATAAGAATTTAGGATTAACGCCATCTCTTGAATGATTTCAGAAAAATATTTCCTTGAAAAAGTTTCTTTGAGTTTCAAGAGATGGCGCTGAGAGTCAATTCTTTTCTATCTCTATCCTTTTTTTTTATTATTTTCTATCCTCTTTTTTGTGTTTCATTTGCGGCACTCTGAAGATGGCGCTGATATCAATAATTTTAATCTATCTTTATCCTTTTCCCACTATTTGCTTTCTTCTTCATCTGTTCTTGATATACAATTATGAACAAAATATAGAACATAACTGATTGTTATTGAACATATTTTTATCATTTCTGTTTTAAAACTATAATGTGTAATAATTAATTGTTTAAACCAAATTACTAATGTTGTGATCTTATTCTGAGCCGAATCGTTCAAAATAACGCTAAAATGCTAGGGAAGGGGAGCAAGAAGATTTTCTCTTGAGATATGGCAAAAAATGCATTATATATTATATTCTATGCATTATATATTAGATTTGTTTTGATTTATTATCATTTTATTATTAATTTATCATAGAAATTAAAGATAATAAGACGTATATTTTAAAAAGATATTATTTACAATTAAATAAAATATAAAATTTATAAGATATAAATAAAATTTTGTTTTTGTATATAAAAATTTTGTTTTTTATATATAAAATAACATATAAATTTATTAAAATATTCTCATATGAGACTCCTATAACATAAAATCATATAATATAATTCATCTAGCTTCCACCATACTTTGTTTTCCTGGATTTAGATTAATCAAGCGGTTTGAATTTTCAGCTAATTCAGTGATACTGATTCTACCACGTTGTCTGACAAATTTTGCTACAGCTTCAAGTTCTTCCTGAGAAATATAAATAAATTTTCCTCTGTCATCAATAACTCCAGTTAAACTTCCAGTTGCTTGAAGCTCTTGAATCCTTTCTATTACACTTGCTGTTTTTAAACTAAAATATGCAGCCAAATCTTCAAGAACCACCACTTTGTTTTGTTTAATATATTGAAGAAACTGTTCTAATAGATTTTCTTCATCTTCTTTAATCTCCTGATCATATCCTTCTTCTTCTACACTAAATGCTTCTTTCATTTTCAAATATTCTTCATATTCTCTTTTTTCTTTTTCCTCTCTGGCTTTTCTTTCTGCTTCTTCTTGTTTTACTTCTTCTGCTCGTTCTTTTTCATATTGTTTATCCCTTTCTTCTTGGAGAAGTTGTTCTCTTTTTTTACGCTCTTCTCTTTCTCTTTCAGCAGCTTCTCTTTGAGCTTTCTTTTCTGATTTAGCTGCTAATTTTGCTCTCTTTTTTGCACCCATTTTGAAATCAGGAGTGGATGGCTTTTCATCTGCCTCATCATTTGCTTCATTTCCAGATCCATTATCATCTTCTTCAATTTGTTGACTAGAAGTTGCTTGCATACGACGTCTAGCATTCCTTTGACCTGCTGCTCGTCTTATTGGTCTACCTTGTGCAGCTCTTTCTACATTCGTTTGTTTTTTTCGTGCAGCTATAACATCGAAATAACAAAATTTTTATGTTTTGTTAGTTTGAATATTAAATATAAAGACGTAATAATTAATTAAATTTGTATATTTTATTTTAATTGTATATTTTATGAAATGTACATACAATTAATTCAATATTTATGAAAATTAATAAAACATCTGTTTCATAACAAAATTAAAGGTTAGGAATATATTTAATTGTAAGGAAAGATATATTTTAATAATAACAAAAAAGTTTTTCATGAGTGAAAACGTACCGGATTTTTGTCTTAAAAACACTGTACAAATGAGAATCAATACAATGATTAAAACAGCGAAAAAAGCTAATAATGTAACGTCCATTTCTTGTTTTTTATTTTACTAAATCTTTTTAGCTTTCGATTATCGAGAGTCAATATCGATAACGCGCAGTAGCGCCGCATACGTGAACTTCACTGTTATTTTCGAAGGTGACGTGTGCCCTATTTAGTTTCACGTAGAATTTCTTTCGTAATTTAAGTTTTGCTGTGCTATTAAAAGCACTGCTCATAAAAAATCATGTTAAAATACGGTATATTTCTAGTATTATTGTGTATTCTCGAATATGGTACAGGACTCTATTTTCACATTGCTGAAACTGAACGAAAGTGTTTCATGGAAGATATTCCAGATGAAACAACTGTTTTAGGTATGTTAAATATATTTGTTAGTAAAAAATAATGTCAATTACGTGTCAATGATATGACTTTTATTAAAAATTTTTATTTTTCTTTATATAGTAAATTACAAAGTTGAATTATATGATCCAAGAACCGGTGGATTCGCTCCGAGCAGCCCGGGAATGGGAATGCACGTGCAAGTTCGAGATCCAGATGATAAAACGATTCTTTCCAGAGTGTATAGTTCAGAAGGAAGATTTTCTTTCACTTCTTTCATGCCTGGAGAGCATATAATTTGCTTATATTCTAACACTAGTTCTTGGTTCAGTGGTGCTCAATTAGTAAGACTTTTATTCTAATAATGTAAAGCAATAATTATTTATACTGTTTATTGTAATTGAGTTTATTACATTATATAGAGAGTGCATTTGGACATTCAAGTTGGTGAACATGCTATTGATTATTCTAATACAGCTCACAAAGAAAAATTTACTGAACTACAATTAAGGATACATCAACTTCTTGATCAAGTGGAACAAATAACAAAGGAACAAAATTATCAGAGGGTTAAATCTCATTTATTTACTTTTTCATTTTTTTGTTAAAAATTTGGATTATAATTTTATATTCTTTGTTTACAGTATCGAGAAGAACGTTTCAGGCAAACATCTGAAAGTACACATCGCCGTGTATTCTGGTGGTCTCTAATACAAACTGTGATTGTATTGATTATGGGTACATGGCAAATGAGACATTTGAAAAGTTTCTTTGAAGCTAAGAAACTAGTATAAGATCAAAACTAATAATTCCAATAATATTAGTCATTTAAAAAATGAACTTTTTCTTGTTATCCTCAATATAAGGAATCCTCAATATAATTTATTTTAAAAAAAAGAAAAAAATAGAAGAAAAAAAATATATTTACTAATTCATTTTCTATCATTTGTATTTATCATATATTATAATTTAGGCTTTTTCATACTTGTTGAATAACTAATGTATTTCTGGAGAATCGATTTTTAAATGTAGTAAAAAAATAATGTATAGAGTGAATTTTCATCAAAATAAAATATTAATTTTCAAAAAAATCGAATTTTCTTTTTTCCTGCGTTTGCATGTTAAATTTATTAATGTGAAATTATATAATATTGAAAATGACCAATGAGAATAATAACATACATGTGAATTTGCCTTTTATTGTAGTTCGATATAAATGGTACACGTGAATGAAAAAAATAGTAAGTAATGTAATTCATGTGATAAAAAATTGTTATTAATATTATTATAATTTAAAAATATATAAAGAAAATATTTTCAATTGCCATAAATGACACTATATATTTGAAAATTTAAAAGAAGAGAAAGGACATTATGTTTTCATTGCGACAAATAATTCGATGCGGAATGCAACTGACACTTACGAGAAAATTTACAAATTTACATCAGATCTCATTGATTCGAAAAGAGAAATTTAATGTTGATCTACGTGATTCAATTTTTATTCGAACGAAAACCAATCTTTCTGAATCACTAGAAAAAGAAGAAGTTAACAAAGATGCTAACAAGAAGGTGCTTGGCAAAATTGAAGCTAAAATCAAAGTGATGTTTACATGTAAAAAGTGTAATTTTCGAAATGGAAAAATTATATCGAAATTAGCTTACGAAAAAGGATTAGTTATAATTCGTTGTGATGGTTGTAAAAATAACCATTTAATTGCTGACAATCTTGGATGGTTTGAGGAATTAAAAAATAAGCGAAATATTGAAAGGTTATTGGCGGCAAAAGGAGAAACAGTTCGAAAAGTGCTAAATGATGTTGATGGATACATCGAGGTGGTTGCTAAAGCAGAATTTGATTTAATACAACATAATAAAGAAAGAGAACAACGTTTAATTGAAGAACAAGAAGATATACATAATAAAAATAAAAAGGTTACATCTTCGAAGGAATTAGAATAAAGATTCTTTAAGAAAAGAAATTTTTATTTTGATAAGATAGAGGTAAAAAAATATTTCAGTGTTTGTGTACTTCTAAATTTATTGTTGACTATATGTGCTTTTTATATTATGTTAATCTTACAGTTATATATATAAAAAAATATCCAAAGTTTGGTTAACACTGAAAGATTTAAAAGTTTTTTGATCCTTTAAATTATAATCATTAAAAGAAACAAAATTTTTTTCTATTATTCATGTGTATTACATGTAAATACTTCTAATATGTACAATTTAGTAAAAAATATATACTTGAATAAAATTTTTCAGATCTTATATAAATCCCATGAGACTTGCCTCTTTATTCAATATATTAAATGTAAATGTAAATATAATTTTATGAAAACAAGTATTATATAATTTTAATATCAATAAAAATTTAATTTATAAAAATGACAGATCTTGGCACATGTAGAAATTATATGGCAAGTTTTAGAATTATAATATATTGATATTTGTATCAATTAATATGTACATGTAGATAATAATGTATCTTTTATAAAAAATGTCTTTTTTAACAGTGAAATATATGTAATATAATTAAATCTTTTATAAATCTTATATAAATGTGTATATATATAGTACATATATATATATAAATATAAAATATATAATATTGAAAACAAAAGGAATGACTTAATGTTTTTTTCTTATCATGCATATTTAAATTCTATATTTAAAAACTATCCATTGTTTATTTTAAATATTTCTGAAGGCACAACTTCTGTTGTTGAGCTTGCAACAATATTAATAAAGGACTATGAATAATTAATTATGATAATAATATTAAAGATGTCTAAGTACACCAGATGTTGGAATGACATGTACATTTAAATTTTGTTTCATTTTATCATTAAGCTATATTTTTAGTGATTTTATTTATTATATTTAATGATATAAGGCACTATATCTTTTCATTGCAATTATTTTAATATCTTCATAATCCAATATTGAATCTTAATAATTTTGTCTTATTTAGAAACTAATGTTTCTAATATTTATTAATATATATTAAAAATTATCAGAATGTGTATGTATAAAATCATTTTATCTTTAAAAATAATTATTTCTATTATAATTGACAGTGATTAAAAAGACTAGTGTTTCTTAAAATAATTCTGTACAGAATAAATGTTATTTCATTTCTGTAATAAAGTTATAAAATATAAGCATTTAATTTTTCATTTAGCACTATAAAAACGGACTTATCCTAGTCATATTGTAGACTAGTATTTTTTTATTATTTTTGAAAGTTAAAAACTTCTAGAATGAAAACTTCTAGAAAGAAAAAACTTATATAATGTTCTTGAATCACTATCAAGTTATTTTAAATTTTTTATACCCTTTTTGGTTTTGATACAATTGCATATTCACTATTATTAAACACTTTATGCTTTGGACCCATATTACTGCTAGTAGATGCAGACTCAGAATGATTTGTTTTTTTTCTAATGACACCATATCCAAGGTGACTATCATCTGCCAATCTAACAGCAGACATATCTTCAACAATATCATAATTAGACCATATAGCATTTGTATCAGTTGCAGTATTATTTAAAGAAGCAGTAGAATATGAATTTTGAGATGCATTATTAAAATTTCCAAATTTGTATGAACTTTTTTGATTAATTTTAGAATTTGCGGAACCAAAATGTTCTAATTTATCATAATCAGATTCATTACTAGGAATATGATTGATCGGCGACATTGGATTATTTGTTAATGAATTCTCTGTAATACTAGATTTACTTTTTGATGAGCTTTGGGATGTAATCATAGGCATCATTGTTTCATATTGGAAATCATCTTCATTCTCTTTGTCTTTGTCACTATGTGACGAATTTGATCTCTCTGTATGATGTATATTATCAATACCATGTGTTTTCCATGCATCATTTCTTACTTCTACTAAATCATAAGGATGTCTCTCTTCATCATCTAATATGGAACTTCCTATTGTTTTTTGAGACATTTCCGGTGAATTATCTCGATTTAATGCTTTGTATTCTCCGCACGTAGGTAAATCTGATGATTCAAGATCTATATTTCTCTTATCTAATATACCTGTAAAAACATATTTTCGCGGAGGTTTCGCAGGTTTTGGTTTAACAACAGGCAAAGAAGGCTTCGAAGATAAACTAGTATCTAAATTAGATGAAGAACTTGATTGTTTTTGAGAATTTTGAGGTGAAAAATCAATATCGATTAAATTAGCAGAACTATTTGGAGAAGGAGGTAATGCTGCTCTTGATCCAGCTTCCATTGATAAAGCTGCATGATATTGAGCATCATTGCATTCAATGTTTGGATTACTTTCCTCATTCATTAATTTTTTCATTGATCTCATTTTGGAATACATACAACGAAAAATTTCTTGTTGACTGCTATGTTCCAAGCGGAAAGAACCTTCTCCAGATTCACATTTTCTTCCTGCTTCAAAAATGAATTTTCCATCCTTGTAACCATATCTCCTAATATATCGATATGGCCAAGTGAATAGAACTACATCTCCATCCATTAATTTAATATCAACTGCAGCTACTATAAGTGTATAGTTTCTAGTTTCTAAACCACATCGTTTAGATGCATCTGTTTCTACAACTTTAACAGAAAATACTCCTTCTCCACTGGTACAATATAGATCATTATTTTCTTCTATTGTCTGATTAGACACACTATCTTTAAATGCTACTAACTGAAATGCAGTAATCCAATGAGTCATATCAGATTCAGAATAACATCCAAAATAATGAATGCCTGACTTAGTCACAACCTACATATAAACACAAAAATAAATAGACATTTCATATTTTGTTTGTTAAATCTTTTTAAATATTTACTTACAGTAAATACATGTGACTGATTACTAGGTGCAATTTTGATGCATGCATCTAATGTGATGATACGAGGAGCATGTGATTGCATTATAGCTTCTTCTTGATTATCATATATTTCAACCCGTTTGATTCCATAGTTACTAGTCCTAAACAGCTGACAAAATCTTTTATGCCAAGATTTCTGTAAAAAAATATAAATAATACGATTGGCTTTCAATATTAATATTTTAATTTCAATGAAAAAGAAAAATATAGATTTTGTGTATTTCGAAAATCATATAAAATTAAGAATGACGTGTATCAAGCTCGATTTAGCATCATTGAAATATTTGGAATGTTATCATCCAAACTTTATAGGTTATTTCTTGATGACGATCATTAATAATAAATAGTTGAATCAATCAATATGTTTACTTATCGAAAGATTAGAATAAATAAAATTATAGAAAGAATTTATTTGCCAAATGGATTACTAGAATTCGAAATACACGTTTATCCATGCTAATGTTAACCAACCTTGAGCTGTCCTAACATTCCCTGCGGTGGTAACAGCAGGATACCTTGTAACAGAGGTTCCTCAGGCTCCATCGTTTCCGCGAAACATTAGCAGTCTCACGTATCACTAGGAACGTACCTTTGTTCCCCTTATAATTTCGAAAAAGTGAATTTTTCCACTTTCACTCCCACTTTTTCCCGTCCGTGCTATTCCTCTCACTGGTTTGCTTCTGCTTTCGAACAGTGCTCTATCTTTTGCGATTAATCTGACAGTTTTCCCAAACACATTCAACCCATCATAATGTATGGTGCTTGACATTTCACAAAAGCTTTGAGCCCGACGTTAACGTCGACTAGATTTCCGAGGAGAAAAATTTGCTCGTTTCTATGTGTACGTGTTGCACAGATATGTCGTGTTAGGTATATACGTACATACACAAATCGTTCCGTTCTTGCATGGTTCCCCACACATTCGGAGCCAACTGTCGAGTAATAGAAACATGCACGTCCTCTGTCCATACGATGTCGCCCGAATTGTCACGAACGATCGTAGAAGCGCGACTATTCTGAAAGATAACTCTTGCTTTGTCTTTTGTTATTTTAATTCGTCTAATTTTATTTGTATCGAATTTTTATCAACGCATCTTACTTTATATTCGAGTTATTTCGTTCGATGTGACGTCTGAAATTCCAAAGTGTAATCAATGTGAACGAGACGGGAGATGATTTAAATCGTGCTTGTTTGCTTTCTTTCTATACGCGAGACTTGGTTATAGATAAGCATTGCGACACATCGCGACTTCCGTTTATAAGCGACAATATAATGTATTTTTTTCTATTTTCAATTATCAGTCCTTTTATTTCGATTATATTATATGTATTATAAAAACTAAATATTATTTGAAATAAGAATTTAACTTATTTTTCTGGTTATATAGCATTATACAGTAGTGTATAACCGAAGTGAAACAAAGAACGACACAATAAAAAGGAATTCGAAATGTCTCTACGATGAAAAATAAAATCACAAAGCAATGGATGATTTTTCTTATTAGTGATAGCAACGTGTAAGTTGGAATAATGCAATCAACACTACCAGTTTTTATCTCTGGTTTTGCTACACGGAAGTGGTATACCAACCGATATGAAACAATACAATTGTCTTCTGCTAGTGACAAACATGCGTGCAAACGAGGTAATAACATTATTCGTTGTCGTTGCTTTGCATACATACTAATCGAAAGCATTTAGCAGGAAATATTCAAAATTAAATTGCATTATAAAATCATAAATTTCAACATTCATTCAATTCGATTTATACCAATACTTCTTTTCATTTTTAGCAATTTCCAAAGTTTAATATACTTGATTGGACAATACTTATGTTTGTAAAAGAATTTATATAATTATTGAAATATAAAATTATATTGCAGATTTAAATCGAAAATGTGTTAAATTCTTATATTTTTGATAATTTTGATAAATTTCCTTTTTTTCTTGGTATATTACAGTATTAAAAAGCTTAGGCTTGGTATCGCACGCAACTAGGCTAAACAATGTCCCGTTTCAATTTCACAAGGATTCGATCGTTCTGTAGTTAGTTATTAAAGAACTGACCTTTCCCGTGATTCGTGGTGCATCAAATTGTATTTGGCCTGCTTGGCATAGTGCTCGTGATCGTGATCAACTTGGCTTGTAATAAAAGATCGACTAAACTAATGAAGTGATGCATTATTCACAAGTGTCCTCGGTTATATATTGTGCGAATAATACGCGTGGTTATTTCAGTTTGTCAATAGAAATGATATCGGTTCTGTTGCTGGTTTGGTGCATCAATTATGGGAGCAGTTACAATGATTTTCCATCTCTGATTACTTCTAATGCTACCATGGGTATGAGTGATTTACCTTTCGAAAAAAAAAAGAATTCTTTTTTATTACCATACATGATAAATTATAAAAAAAAAAGATAAAATTGAGTAAAGTTTGATGAAAAAGAATTTTTTCAATAGCTGTCATCATTGATAAAGGTTTCTTCAGTAACAAAGATGAGTACCAAAATGCCACAAAAGTAATACAAGATCTTATCACAGATACTGTGAAAAAGGAGATGAACTTGGGTAGTATCTCAATACGCGTATTTCGCGATATGAATGTTAATTTTAAAGGTAAATTTTCCATCCATAAATAAATAGTTATCATTTCAATTTTTGCTTCGATTATTCATTAATCTTTTACATCTTTCAATTACTACAAAGATTATACAATTCTTTTGTCTGTCGCGACCTGCTATCTAACATGGCGTTTGCACGAGGTCGCACAAAAGGAAGAACTGACACATTTCGCCATAACAGGTAACACGAGTAACCATTTCCTAGATATTTTAATTATAAAATTAAAAAGATCCTGAAAAGGAATCTTTTTTTTTTTTCATTTGAAGATCCAGACTGTCCTCGAATTCCAGATACAGATGGTATAACAGTGCCATCGATCGTTCCAGGAGAAGAGCTGTCACAGATTTTTCTCGACTTAAGAATGACAGATATTCTGTCCTGGAACGTGATCAACATCCTTCACGACGATACGTTCGGTGATAAGGCAACTAGTAGCAACGATAAACGATCATGTCACGATCCTTTTATCTAATGTGAACACGTGTTCACGCCTCGTTTCAGACAGAGACACAATCAGTAGAGTGTTGAAAGCCATTTCGAATAAATTACCGAACAAGCGAATGAATCTAATCTCTAGGTCGATTTTCTCGTTGAGACACGGAAACACGGGAAGCGAGAGAAAAAGTTCGGTGAAGAAGACGTTGAATGATTTTCACGTGGAACAATTAGGACATTGCTTTTTGGTGATCGCCACTGTCGACATGGTCGCGGATGTAATGTCTGTAGTAAGATTTCGTTTCTTTAACGAACATGTAATATATTTCAAATGATGAAAAAACTTAGATTAAGATCATTGAGAATTCATATTATTCAGGAAATTTTTTTTTAAAGGCAAACTCTTTGAACATGGTTCATCCAGGTAGTCAATGGTTGTACGTGATCACAAATAGCGTGTCAGGAAATTTGATCAACACGACATTCATTAATTTACTGGCAGAAGGAGGAAATGTGGCTTTCATGTATAACGCGACTGACTTGGATGGTTTCTATAAAGTAATAATTTTTAAACAATTACATATTCATATTATTATATTTCTTTGTTTCACTGTGAAAAATAAAAATTGTATTTTTCTGATAACTTTTTAAAAATTTTAAGCAATTCCTTTATATTATTTTTTCTCTATATGGTAAATAATCGTTGAAAGATTTCTACTTCAGATCAAATTAAAATGTTACATCAAGGATTTGATCGAAGCATTGGCGAAAGCTTTGGAATACTCATTGACGAACGAGATCGAATTGTTCAAGAGGATGAACGAGGACGAGTTCGAAATGATCAGACTGACGAAAAGCAAGAGGCGAGCCGAGCTTCTGAAGAATGTCAGAGTCAGTGAATTTGTAACATTTGCAATGTGTTTTAGCCAGACTAAAATCCAAATTATATTTCTCGACAGATACATCTTTCTCGAAACACGTCTGCTTCGAACAATGTTTGTGAACAATGTCTGTTATGGAGATTCTTCTCGTCTATAACGTGGGGAAATTTCTTCTCTCATGATAAAAATATGGCTCACTTATTGGATATAGGAACGTGGACACCTATTATCGGCGTAAACCTTACGGATGTGATATTTCCTCACATCGTGCACGGATTCAGAGGAATTAATTTACCAATCGCGACTTATCACGTGGGCAAACGATTTCAATTTTCCAATTTATTATTTTACAAGAAAAATATCTTATCATTAAAAAACATCGAGTTTCACATTTTATTAGAAAGTTAATTTTTCTTAAACTTTCTTAAATTCGAAATTTCTTTGTTACGTTAAAATTGTAAACGTTATAACTGAACGTGAACGATTGTTATTTTAGAACCCACCATGGCAGATAATTTCTATGAGTAAAACGGGTAAAAAATTGTACGAAGGATTGATATTCGACGCGATCAATTATCTCAGCATGAAACTAAACTTCACGTACACAGTGATCATGCCGGAAACGAGTCAGATTCCGAGATCCTGGAACACTTCTCAATTTGCCAAGTTGGGCGAGGTAAGAATTTTTACGATTTTTATTTGTCACTATATTTGTCAATTCTGCTCGATTCCGTTTATAGAAAATCAAAGAAATGACCATGTCGACCACGAAGAAAGTGCCATTGGAAATAATCAATTTGGTGCGCCAGAAGAAAGTTCTTCTGGCTGCGTGCGCGTTGACCGTGAACGAATGTGGGAATACCACATTCAATTATACCGTACCTATTTTCGTACAGACATACAGCTTTTTAACAGCGAAACCCAGCCAATTGTCTAGAGTTCTCTTATTCGCTTCACCGTTCACCAAGGAGGTTTGTAATTAATTTTTTAAATCCTTATTTTTTTTTTCGAAATAAGAATACCAAATATTCTCCGTTACCGAAATCTCGAAATAATAATGAACAAATTAACCCAACAAATTAGCTCGTGAAGATAACCCAGGAGGATAAGGATCGAAGAAGCGAAGAAAACATCTGATATTACGTTACATTAGTAACTCTCCATAATTTCTTACGAAGGTTTTCTTAGCGAAAGACTGACAGAAACGAATCGGTGTAGTTACACAAAGATCGCGGAGAGATATCTCTTACTCGTTTTAAAAGCGTTCGCTAATGTTTCGGCATTCCACCGCGTAATAGCGCATAATGACAGAACTATAAAGATTGTCGTCGTTCAAGTTCGGTATGTTCGCTGGCATTCCTGTTATGTTCCGGCTGCCTTTCAGATGTGGGCCTGTCTGGCTGTGTCCATTATCATAATGGGTCCGATTTTATACCTGATCCACAAGTACAGCCCGTACAGCACCAAGGCCTCCGGTCTCAACTCCTCCTGGCAATGTGTGTGGTACGTGTACGGAGCGCTTCTTCAACAAGGTACGATTTTATTGTCCCGTAAACCAACACTATTTCTTTTATATTTGCACCGATGGAAACTTGTGATGACTTCCCTCCAGTGATTTTATTACCGATCATTAGCGTTGTTGGATTTCTTCTATACAAATTTTATTTTGGCAGATCGATTCGAATAATGATGTTTATTGGAGATAGTAATATTGCGTTTTATTTAATATAGGATAGAATACAGATCTATTAAATAAGTAAATATTATATGAAATTTTTCTTAATCACTAAAAATGAAATTACACTACATTCAATGATAGAGTGATTATAATTGAGATATACGTACTCGTATATTCACTTTAATAACGTAACGTTTCAATGCAAAAGATGGCTGGAAGTTTGGAGAAACTCGGTAAAATTCCTCCTGTCGTTTCAAACGCAATAGCCTTTCTCCATCTTCTGCCCATCGACTAATTAAAATTCAACGGCCAAAGTAGCGCGAAGGGAATCACACTACTATCGGCCCTGAAAAATTCCAGGTGGGATGTATCTACCGCACAATGACAGCGCTCGCATACTGATCGGTATGTGGTGGCTGGTCGTGATGGTCCTGGTGGCCATATATTCCGGAAGTCTGGTCGCCTTTCTCACTTTTCCTCGAATGGACACCTCTATTTTAAGCGTGGAGGATTTGATCGCGCATAAGGATAGAATCAGTTGGGGCTTTCCGAACGGTAGCTTCCTCGAGATGTATCTACAGAACGCCGAGGAGCCTAAATACCACGTTCTATTCTCCCGCGCTGAGAGGCATAACGACACAGAGGAGGAGAGATTGGTGAGACGTGTGAAGGAAGGGAAACACGCTCTGATCGACTGGAGGAGTTCCCTCAGGTATCGTTTCATTTATCACTAGTCGAAACCAGCGTGAAAATTCCAGCGTGGAAATTAACTGGTTCGCGAAATAGGTTCTTGATGAGGAAGGATTTCTTGCTGACCGGTAGCTGCCATTTCTCCCTGAGCATGGACGAGTTTCTCGACGAGCCTATCGCTATGATCATCCCGTACGGCAGTCCTTATCTGCCTGTCATTAACGCGGAGTAAGTTGTACGTTGACTTCTGGAGGATCGATGTCAGGAATTATTTTCAATAGTTTTTATTTTATTCTAAAATAAAATTCTGTGAGTCGAGTTGAATCTTTTTTTTTTTTTTTTTTTTTTTTCTGATAATTTAGACTGCATCGAATGCTAGAGTCTGGATTGATGAATAAATGGATCACGGAGAAGATGCCGATGAAAGATAAATGTTGGGAAGCGCCAGGTAGCAATCAGGCGGTGAACAAACGAAAAGTAAACGTCGCTGATATGCAAGGAATATTTTTCGTATTATTCATAGGTAAGATATTTATCTTTCTTGGTGTGCCAAGATGGTGATTAAAGTCTTATCTTTTTTAATAAGAAAGATTTTGTCATCGTTTCAGGTATCACGTTGGCTTTCCTCTTTCTTTTTTGCGAGTTCTATTGTCATAGGCGTAAGATAGCCAAGGAACGCAAATTGATTCATCCCTTTGTTTCTTAAATCTTATTTTAAGACACGTACAATTAAGTTAAATTATTTTTCTTCATCTCACAAGAAGGTTCCATACGATCATGGGATTTCTCCTCGAAGATATAAACCAGTCCCACGCAATGCGTTCAATTGCACGTATTACCACTCTTTTTGCTTCCAATTTCTACTTCTTTTCTCCGATAATTACCATTTCGCTTTTTTTTTTCATGGCTTAATCAACAAAAAACATGGTACCAATCTACACGACCAGAACTCCTGAAATTCTTGCTCAATCCTCCATTTTCTTGAAATTCTATTCCTTGATCGAGTCGAGAAACAATCGTTGACGTTAAACGAGGCCATAAATCGTTCATTCATAACTATTGATCCATTTCCATAATTGATTTATATATAAAAATCAAACTTATCGCATCTTATTCTATCGTAACTAACTCATTCGATATGAGAGACGTTGGATATTTTTACTTCCATATTGCAAAATGAAAAATTTCCAAAGAAGTAAAGACGATCGGTTTGATATCCCTTAATTCTAAAAAAATCAAATATCGTTTCGTGTTAATGTTACCGATTTTAAAACGGAGTTGGTCCATTCGGTGATTCAATTCACGCGCAAGGCAGACGTGTAATAATTCTCGCCAATAAAATGGCGACCAATGGCCCGAGGACGTTTACAATTACCAACACGAACGTCTAATTTGCGGATAATGGACGGCACCGGATATTGCGTGGATATCCACGCAACGTCGAAAACGTTCGATCCTTTCCATGACCGATGTCCGAGGCATCCTTTTCCATCTCGTTAGTTGCACGAGAGTCGTGGCGATGTTTTGTGAATAATTTTTTCCGTGAGATTAATCTTAAGAATATTGTATTATTGTACTTAATAATAATTAACAATAAGTGCAAAATTATTATAAGACGAGACTATTGTATCAATAGTCTCGTCGATCGTGAGCAATAAAAATTCGTTTGGAGAAGAGTAACAGAGATTGTTCATTTACCCGTAAAATTTTTGAGATATCGCGTAATGTACGGGCGCGATTACGAAAAATTTGTCGGGTAAGAAGATTGACAGAAGGATGCTCCTCGCGACAGGTACGCTCGACGTACTTTCGTTCATTGTTTTCGTTAAGCCGTTAATTTCGTTAATTTCGCCGGAAGAGTTCGCACTTAACAAGGTTTATTACATTGTGAACGACCGCAACATTGAGCAAGACTTATGACGCGTATGATTCAGTTGCTCCCTGTTACGTTACGTTGTGGAAGTTGCCACAACTAGTTACTTTATTAAGATCATGCTCGTAAAAGAATGGAGATTTGTAAGTGTGCGAAAGTGAAGAAAGGTCGGTTTACGAGTTTACCTACATCTCCGAAGTGTTCGTTCGTTATCTTGCATGATAAAAATTCATTCGTTCTTTCTCAGTGAATTAATTTTCATGAATTTTAAATTCAATTTCTTAACATCCACAAACTCTTTACCTTTACAACAATCGAACATTGCGAAAGAATATCGCTATACGAATTTCCACTATCGTAACTTTTATTCATTTTATTTTTTCTAAAATAGTGATGGATCATGGTTTATACATTTTAACGATATTATCATTTATAAAATTTCATAAATCGTCTATTCTTAGAATATCATGTTTTTCAAACTTATTATCATTCCATTTTTCAAAAGTCTAATCTTTGGACAGAATCGATTTCTTTATGGAGAATCATGTCAAATTTCGTAAAAGGATATCAGAATACAACCACAAACGTTATTGAAAATTTAAAAGAAAGTTACGTTCCAATATCGACGAGGAACTAAATCAAACCGCATATTTATTCATTATTTCTCAAAATATAATACCCTTTCGCGAGTGGCAAACGGACAGGTCGAGAATTCACAAATCCAAATGCTCGAAATCTCTTGAAAAAAAGAAGTAGCTTTCGCATTCAATAAATCCACCACGATACCTTTGAATAATTCGCCTGCTCCTCCGCCTGCTTCTCCTCCTACTATACCACATCCTCTGGGGGAAGCTGAAACCCCGTCTCCCGGTTTCTCGAGGAGGAGAGGGAAGGGCGGGCGCGCGATATGACGGCGTACATAGACACGGGTTTATCTACCTGACGACCTTGCCGTTTAAAAAATCCCAGAGTGGCCGGCAGAGAGGCTCGAGCGGGCGGCGTGCACCATCCGCGAGCCAGTTCCGACGTAGAGAGCGGACGACTAAGACTAATCCTAATAGAGTTGTGCGCCTACCGGCCGTTTCCGCGCCACCGTGTCCGCGCTTCCTTCCTTTCGTGAAACGGGAGAGAACCCGCGAGGTACGTGCGTGTTGTCCATGCCAGTCGGCCTGCGATCCTCGTCCGCCAGTGATCCACCAACCAGTCGCGATTAATATGGGCGCCTGGATGTCCTGGCTGATCCTGCTGCAGCGTACGTATGCTCACCTTTTTTTCTTTCATCTTTTATTATTGTATTCGAATCGGGCCGACACCGATTCCAATTTACTTAAAGTTAGTCGGTAAAAGTTGACGATGATTCTTGATTATTTATGAATTGGAAGACGATCGTCGTATCGTTGTGCGAAGAAATATTATAATATTCGCGAGAAAGGATTTCGTAGGATTCGTAAAGTTAAGAGATTAGGAGAGATTTCTGAATGGGAATATTCCAACAGTGTCGTCCGTGTTCGCGCATGGCTACGACAACGTGGGATTCGACGGCTGGTATCAACCGGTTCCGCATCGGCCGGTCGACATCATCACAGACGTTATTAACGACCTAGGCGTGCGGATTCTGCAGCAGTACACGGTCCATGGGAACGTTGCATTCTCGCCGACGGGGGTTGGCTTCGTCCTGGCCGCGCTCTACGAGGGCTCGGCCGGCAGAGGAAGACAGCAAATCGTCGATGCTCTCGGCCTACCGAGGGATCGAGACATCACCAGGATCGGTTTTCGCGATATTCATCGTAGATTGAGGGTAAGAATTATCCGGCATCGCGTTTAGGATGTCGTTGAATCGTTCAAAATCGTTGCGCAATGCGTTCGACGTTCGAGGGTGATTAGCCGGAAAAGGGACACGGAAAATTTGCTTCGACGGCTCATTTGAAACGCGTAATTTCTCTTTTTTTTAAGTAGCGGTGGTTTTTTTCTTTCTCGGTCCATCGCTCTTTTCGAACAAATTTCGTAACGAAAGATCGACGATCCGTGAAGGACCTGCAATAATTATTTTTCTCTACTTTAAAGACGTATCTGAACGCGGACGGATTTCTCGGGGGTTTGACACTCAATCACGAGAACACAAGATTGAGGCCTGAATACGAGGACATTCTGAGATTCTATGGATTCGATTTGTCCATTCCTGAAGAGGAAATGAACGAAACTACTTTTGTTCCTGAAACAACGAATAGCGTGATGGTGACTGAACAATCAACGATAGAAACGAAGACGATAATTCCTGTTGAAATTACCACGCAATCTATTACTACACAAGATATGCAGAGTTCTGAGACCACTAGTGAAACACCAATATCGACTACATCCTCGGTGGAGTTGACTGGAATAACCTCAAGCACGATAGACGAGCAGGATAAATTGACGCAAACTACTCCTGCTGTTACTGTTTTAACGAATAATCCTAATGCTGCCACTACCGTGTCAAGTTCGATCGTAACTTCATCATCCATCGAGACAACGACGACCTCTTCGATACCTACGATTATTATGCCTAACTTAATTACAACTTCATCTTCCGAGATAGTAACTACGCCATTCATTACTAATACACCATCTTCTACTACACCTTCTATTACTTCTACTACTCCTATTCTAATTACTACTGTAGCTTCTACAATTTCTGAAGAACCACAGACAACCGTTGCAAATCTTACTCAACCTATAACTACAGCTACTTTGTCTAATCAATCTCCAAGTACCGAGAAAAGTACGAGTACTTTGTCAACTTCAAGAAGTACTTCCACTCCATCTACTACTACTATTACTACTACTACTACTACTAGTACTACTTCTATTCCATCTTCCACTTCTGAAACACCATTACCATCTACCACGTTAATAATCGTAGAAACTCCAGAATCGACAACCATTTCTACCGATCAAACGACCGAAGAATCTGTAATTATGACTGAACCTATCCCAGAGTCAACGATCATGCCACCGATAACATCTGCGCCGATAAACGCAGGAGTCACTGTCACCGTGTCATTCACAGAAATGTCGGCAACTCTACCAGTCAATATCACGGAAATCTCGACGAATTCGACGATCCCAACAACTCAGACAAACGAAATGTCCATTAATGAGACTAGTAGGTTCACGAATAAACCTGACGACGAGAATACTATTTTAGTGGACTCTTTGAACAATCAATCGTCTGTCTCAAACGAGATGGAGTCTACCGAACCAGTCACGACGACTGTTGCGGGTGAAATCGGGTCGATTGGACAAGAGAAGATGATGAGTCGAAGGAAGCGTAGTGACAGGAGCCCCAGGGGATTCTTTTCTAGTTATCCAGGTATTAATTGCCGTCTTTTTTTAAATTCTTTTTTTATTTTTGTCTAGATTATGGAGTCACTGACCGTTGAATATAGATTTTTTAAGAAAGAATATGCATGAAATGGTGATTAAGATGAATGGAGTAGAGAGAGAAGTTGTGGTTAATAAGATGTTGATGAATTTGCTCAAAAATCTGAATGGATTATTATATTAATAATGCTTGAAAAACAAAATTGAAATTCGAGGATTTGAACTCGGGCCAAATAAGTGGTAAATCCGGCACGCTAATCGCTTTGCTATCGAATTCTTACATAAGCATATGTCTTTTTTATCTTTATAAGGTCTTTTAAAATTTCATGTACGTATATTTTTTGATTAGCCTCAATTTATATTCTTATTCTTGTTAAATTCTTTTAATTTTCAGACGAAGGGATTTGGATGCAAGATCTAGGCATCTGGAAACCCTATTCCACAAGTTTGAACGAGGCATCCGTCAGAGACTCGACAGAGATATCATTCTTAGTAAACGGTTGCGACGTCTCTTCCGTTACAGCCTCAAGATACTTCGCCGTTTTACCTTTTGCCTATTTCCCATCGCTGCACGCGGTCGCCCTTGAGTTTCCGCTTGATGTAAGATCTATTATTCCATAAAAAACTCTCGAAAATTCATCTTCTCGCCATTCTCTTCACAAAACGGGAAATTATTATCTTCAATATATTTTGGCGATAAATTATCTTTTCAACTCATTAATTTCAGGATCCTAGATACAATATCATCCTCATGATGGCCACGGATAGAAGGGACACGTACCGATTGGCCAGAGATCTCGGCGGGAAGTCGTTAAGACTGTTGCGGAAGCAGTTACAGGCCACTTGGGTCAGGGCCACCATTCCGTCCTTCATGTTGCGCGGTTTTGTCACACTGACGTCTTTCCTTCAAAGGGTACGACGATTGCGAGGAATCTCTTCTACGTTTCTTTTTGGAAAATGAACTTAATATCTTAATATTCTCTCGAGAATCTAAAAATTTTCTATATCAAATAATTTTTTTTAACGGAGGAAAGAGAGATCCTCGAAATCGAATCATTTCTTTCTCCATGTTCGCTGCCCGATATTTTACCATTAGCTTCGATCATTAAGCTCCTAATTACTTAATCGCGTTAGCCAACAGGTCTTGAGTGCATTTTCCGTTTCTCGTCACGGTTTCGTTCCGCGAACCAGAGCTATAGGGGGACACGTGCCCTCCTTGACGACACGTAATTCACGATAATTCGAAACGGAATTGTTTAATAGACGTACGTACTGAAGTTGTGTAGCATTTTACTCTTGCGAGTTTTATAGATCCCAACACTGTTTCATGTTGTTTTAGCGTTAGTCTTTTAAACGTACTATATTCAATCATTTTCTATTATCGAACGATGCAGTTATTTTTAAAATTACTTTTGTCCCTCTCGATTATATTCGATTGTTCTTCTTTTCTTTTTCTTGTCAAATGTTTATTTTATTTTCAGTTGGGAATTTTGGATGTGTTCGAGCCCAGAACAGCCGATCTCTCGCCAATGACACCTGACCTAGGTGTGTACGCTAGAGACGTGCAGCAGAGCATCGGTGTGAACATCAGAAATTATATGAAACCCGACAGGACCCATTCTCGTGAGTCGTTCTATCGCCCTACCGATCCTCCATTGATCGTTCCACTTCGTCGGGATTATTACCGATACTATATACATCATCCAGGTTTCTGCTCTCTGCTTTCTACGTTCTTTCTGCACTTTTCCTGTTACCATTCTTTATTATAATTTCGATATTCCACAATCTACGAGGATTTGATCAAATTTTTTTCATTTTTCTTTTCTTCCAGTCACGAATTTCTAGTAGGAAAAAAAAAAAGGAAAAAAAAGAAAGGAGAGGATATCACGGATTATCGTGGAGGGGGGGAGTGATCGGCGATTGGCAGAAGGTTCGATCAGGCAATAGACGTGACGCAATCGGTGAAATTGCGATTCTCCGGTGTACGTGGTCCGCGAACAATGAGATATCGGTGTATGTTGCTGAGAACGACAAAGGGAATACCTAATTCCTTCGCTCACTGTGTTACACTATCGACCAAAAGTTTAGAATCGTGTATTCTAAAATCGTAATTATATTTTCCGATTATTTTATTAATAATAATTTTCTTAAGTTATTACAGATATTATTCAAGAAGACTTATTAAATTGAGAATATATATTAATTTAATTTTCTTTATATTCTTGTATTTTAAAGCTATTTTAAAGTTTTGAATTGTTTCTTAGCAGTTTGTACAATATATTTAAGTAATACGTTAACGATTCTTTGATAGTATATTATTGTGTGTATTATTTGTAAAATTTTTTTTAGCCAATATCAACAAAAAATAAGATCAATAAGATCCGCATTCCCTTCATAAATTTCGTATAATTTCTGAGCAACGTAGTGGGCAAATGTCTGACGATGTCTGGCCATTACTACTGGCGCGTGTCTGATTCGTTCTCCCTTCCTCTTCGTTTTCTTTTTTACATTCCATGCTTTTTGCTTTCTATCGTTACCATGGATCTTTTATATATATATTTAGCTAATATAAAATTAAGAAAGAATTTTATTAAAAATTTTGGAATGGAAATTGTTTCAATTCTGAAAGATAGAAATTTTTCTAAAGATCGAGAAACAGTTCAGATTCATATTTATATTATATTGATACTTTCTCTTGTAAAGGTTGTTGACCTCCAACTATATCAGCGAATTGCATCGTGAGAATCGAACGAGTATTACTCTTAATTTATTCATCTTCTTTCAAAGAAAATAAATTCACAGTAATTAATTCCTTTCTTTTTTTTTTTTTTTTTTTTTTTTTTTTTTATGGTTAAGTTATACGCTATCTGTGACGTACGATTACGATCACGCAAACATTCCAGAAGATACAATTTTTTTTTCTCTAATCGATAAATGTCGAATCTATTGCCAATTCGTTGTTTGCTCGTCGAAGAATTCGTTTCCGGTTTATTGTAATTGACGCCGTCCACGATCGAGAATATTCTCAGTATTGTTATAAAGTTGGCTTGGTTTAATCGCTGATATCCTGTACGCCTGACTCACCGAGGAAAATAAATAAAAAGACCTTGCGGTCGTGTTCTCCATTATGCTTACTAGGAATTCCTGAATCGTTACAAGGAATGTTGCTCGTAAATATTTTCATTAATCTGTCAGCTGTTTTCAATTATCATTTTTTTTCTCCTCATGCTAACATATATTATCAAATACCTCGTTACCTGTTCCATGTTACCTTTCTTCATCTGCACTAGATTAATATACGTACAATATAAACATTTGGAACAAGATGATTTTATTTATTCACGAATGAAATATATATATATATATAATTTTTCACAGGTAATGGATTATTCGAGAGGGCAGGTCCAGTGCCATTTACAGTTGTCCATCCGTTCCTCTACTTCATCGTCGACGCGGAAACCTCGGTGGTTCTGATCGCTGGTCGTGTCAACGATCCGCTCAATTCGCGAATTTTGTAGAATTTTTATCCTACTTGGGAACAAAATAGACGAATCCCGGGTAATAATAAACATACGTTTATTTGACATACTTATAAATATTGTTATATATATCTATAAACAATTACACATATATATATTTATATTTATTAAATCTTTCCTAGTTTGCACACACCTACCTTTAAGTACACGATGTATATCTGTACAAAAATATCCGTACTTTGTAAATAAAGAATGGAGAGAGAGAATGGAGAGAGAGAGAGAGAGAGAGAGAGAGAGAGAGAGAAAGAAAGAAAAAAGGAATAAAGAGAAAAAGAGAGAGAAAAAGAATGAAAGAAAGACGGAATTTTAATTTAATTCTTTGATTAATAGAGGATATTTAGAGGCGATGGGCAAGAATTTAGCATTTTACAAAATTCGCTATACAACTTGGTAGATAAATGTATAATCATGGGCTTGCTGCTGAAACTGCCGATATCTTTTAATTATTCATATATAATCCTTTCCGCAGGCCTTTTCAACGTCAAGCCAATTTCAACTTAATTCTCTTCTTTTTTATATATTCATGTACAGGCTGGCAAAAACTGACAGACGAGCCAACAGCTCGTTCAAAAAATATATATATATTATCTTATTTATATTTATATATTTATATATAAATACAGTCCTGGTTGAGCGCGAGTTTGTTCATTGTTCTTGAAGAACGATCTCTTTCTTCTTTTCCACAGTCTCGCGCGATCTGTGTTTGATTGGCTTCGCTTTCAAAGCGGCAGTCTTTGAGACACCAGTTTCCCAAACTTTTGTCTACGATACGTTGCTCAATACGACACGAACTCTCATTTCCTTTTACACGTTCATTTCGTTTCTCTTTTTACATTTTATCTTCAAAGGAGAAATGAGAATCTTCGTGTTACGAGTCTCGTTCTTTTTCTCTTTCGACAAGTCTTACTAAGTTTTATTTGGCAGTGATTCTCAGTTGCCGATTCTCTCTGTTACTCCTTGGTTAAGAAATATCCGAAGAAACGTTTAGAGTTACGTTTTAAGTGCTCGGACACCGGCGAATCGGTTCGCCAATCTGTCGACGAGGTCCCGTGACCAGATGATGGATCGGAAACAGGGTCAAGTGACGTTCTTCAGGATCCATGGGACGAACTTGGAGATCCTCGTGCACACCCCTGGTAAATTCGCCTCCGCGCATCCGATTCCCCAGGATATGATGCCCGCGAGGAAATATCGGCCGTCTTTCCCTCTCACTTGCAGAGGTCCACCCGAATCGCCCTGAAAATTGCACATTTTTTTTTTTTTCTTAGATATACGACAAGCCACTCTAGCAAATATTGATTTTTCTGCAGTTCCAACACGACTTCAAAATTGAATATACATTAATAATGAAACGTCTGTCTGTCTTAAATCTTAAACGAATATGTAGCGATATTTATAGGCGGAGTTATTTTATAGATACCTGACAAGAATCTTGGCCCCCGCTCTCGTATCCGGCGCAAAGAAAGATGTCCGGTATGAACTCGTGTCTCCCAGCCCTCAGGAACATTGACTTACACCTATCGTTACTCACTATGGGCACGGAAACCTGCAATAGACACCCAATTCTAATTTGAATCAAGAATTTTTCATTCGTAACCTGAATCTTGTACTTTCTCATTGAGATATTATAAATATGACGTTAAATCGATAAATCGTTAAGAATTAAAGGTTCAGGATTTCATACAATTCTTTTTACATTGATTGGAAAATTTAAAACTATCATTCTTGGTGGATTTATAATTACTGTAAGAGTATAATTATTGTAAAAGTTTACCTCTTGCAACACGGATGGCAGGGTGCCACCCTCGCTCAATCTTCCCCAACCGGTGACGGTCGCGTTCTCGCCGATGAGAAGATCATCAGTGGCCGGCAGACAAATCGGCGAGATATGCGGAGCGAAGGTCAACGAGCTTTCCAATCGAACCAACGCCAAATCGTATTCGTAAGTGAAGAAATTATACTTCGGATGGACCACCTTCTTGGCCACTCCGCGTTCCACGTACGGCAGTCGCTCTTGCACCGACGAAAAATCGTACTCGCCTACTCTGATCCGGATCTGCGAGGTCAACAGGCTGCAACAGAATCGATTTCAAATATTTCTCTCGTTTTGCATTCTTACGATCGTCGCTAATCAAGTATACGGGTTAATCGAGGTTCATTTTCTACACGAGGGGCGGGCACATTTGCATTCACTCACGTACGGAGAGGCTGTAATCATAACAGGAAGCAATTACGTACACTGATCCCGCTTCTTCTTATGATCCGCGGCTCATAGACTTTCTATCTTCGTATTTATACATCTCTTTTCTTATTATTTCCGATATTATTAGCATGTCTCGAAAGTTATTTTCGATATTAATAGGAAACATTTTATTATAGTTTTCATATTCAATACACTCTTATTCTACTTTCTTTTATTTTTGTTTTATGCATCTTGAAACGAAAGAGATATATTTAATATATTTAAATACGTATATGAATATTTTGCAAATAAGTTTTCAAACTATAACTATAATTTAATAGCCTTTAATACCCTTTAATATTTTATATACTTTATATACGTATTTTATATATATATATACACATTTATGAAAAATTTAAATGTGCACAAATATACAAAATGATGTATGTATGTAAAAAAAAAAAAACAGATTTCTACTTTATCTATTGTTCTCTAAGTAACGCAAAAATTTCAATTTGCAACCTCTCCGAACATCTCCAATTCCAAAGAAATTCTACTCACTCATCGACACAGTGTCCCGCGGTCGCGATCCAGTTCTCGTTCAACACCGCGCCGCCGCATCGATGGGTGCTCGAGAAGCCGAAGAACGAGGTGCGCCTGACGGATACCTGCCAAGGCCATCGACCGAACGGCGCGTCCTTGCCTCCAACGATCCTGGTCTCGGGTCGTGGAAACAGAGGCGGTACCCCGCACTGCATGCCCTTGCTCTCGGTTGCGGCAGAGACGGTCAACACCGATCCAGTTTTCGCGACCGCCTCGGTCGTGGACACGGTCGTATCGGGTTTTGGTGTCGTGGTGGTCGTCGTGGTGGTCGTGGTCGTGGTGGTGGTGGTGGTGGTGGTGGTGGTACTGGTGGTGGTGCTGGTGGTGGTCGTGGTGGACGTGGTGGTTTTCTTCGTGGGTCTGGGCCTTGCGGAGGTCTCGAAGTGGGACGTGGTGATGTAATGCGCGGCGCCGAGCGGCTTGTGGAACTCTGTGTTCTGCGATAAGAGAGAGAGAGAGAAAAAAAAAAGAAAATGCACTACTGATCTAAGTTGAATCCATCCGAATCGAATCTTTGAATCTTTCGACGCTGTTCGAATTTATTAATTTTCCGAATGGACGGCTCCGTTTTGCAACACGGTGCTCAATGGACTGTGTAATCGAGTCGAAGGCCGATCGGTTTCTTTGTCAGTGATTAACAGTAATCCGACGAGCGAAAAAAAAAAAAGGAGAAAAGAGAAAAAAAAAGAAGTCGGGCTACGTTGTTTTTTTCTTACGACGAATATCGATAGAGATCGATATTAGAGGGGTTTGCAGGACCGCGGGATATGGAGTGTACTCGAGGATGTAATATGATAAAGCTGTTCCTTCGAGGGGAAACTGATTTCTAGATAAGACGCGGAAGCGTTTCAGGTATCGAGCGGGGAAGAAGTGTTCGCGATTATGGCTCGCGGTCATAAGAGGAAGATTCTTGAGTTATTCGATAATTTCAGTGTACGATCATTAAAAATAAATCCATCCGTTTCGAATACTTTACTGGTTTTGTTGTATAAATCCTCTGACTGGAATAATAGATTCCATTCAGGTTTTACGCACCAGTGCTTGATACATTTACATACTTATTTTATTCTTCTATTGTTTCTTTAAATATATATCGCGGGCAAATAAAGGAAGGCGGGAACAAGTATTATATGATATTTTAAGAAGCATCGTGAAGAGAATCTCTCAATATACCCGATACCGCGAAATTACAAACGAAACATATATTTTATCGACAAATATCCACACGTACTTCTTGTGGTTCGGTCGGTTTGAAGCTCGGCCGTGGTGGAAACGCTTCAGGCCCATTCTGAAGGAGGCTAGGATTGTCCGTCCAATGCGGTTTCAAGGACGGCCTTGGCGGTGTCCAACTGTTCTCTGACCAGAAATGGGAGCTGCTGGTCAACGGTTTGACCGTCTCGAGGGAACTCATCGGCTTGGTGGACAAGGACGGTCTCTGCTTCGTGACGAACACCGGTTCAGTGGTCACATGCCAGTGAGAGGTTTGTGGCAAGGATCCGGCTGCGCTAGAATGAAAGAAAAGCTTGAAGCTCGAAAACGCTTCGTTCCGCTTCGCTTCCTGTTTCCGTTGGAGCCATTAATTATGGAGAAAATTTACGATCGCGAGTTAATTCCGCGCAGTTGAATAAAAGCTTTGGAATGGTCCAACGAGAGGAAGAATTTTCGAGGGCAGCAACGCAAGGACATAGTCGGATACCTGGTGGTGGATTGGCCGCTCAAGTGTGACGGTCTGATTGTGGTCGAAGTTTTCACGGTTGTGCTCGGGCCATTGGGTTTCGAGACGAAGTTCGGCCTGGTATCCGGTTGCTCGTTCATCAGGATCGGCCGATAAGTTGTCGTCTTGATCGAGAAGTACGGTTTCGAGAAGTCTGTGGTCGGTTTGGGGGATACCGGTTTGGTAGCCCATTGTGGACGTTCCGTGTGAATGAAGTTCAAGCTCGGATGAGGATCCTTGGCTGATTCCTGATGAGATGGTTAAACACTTTTAAACTTTACTTTGAAAGCAAACTCCCCCCTCCCCAAAAAATCAACAAATTTCGATGCTACGTTGAATTCGAGCACCCTAGAACGTCGATTATTCGAACTGATTTGTTTGAATAAAAGAATCTTCGATCAGAAAGAGTACATTATGAAATGATTAAATAATTTTTGAATATAAATGTTTATTATGTAAAAAAATTCATATTTATTCCACATTCGAACAAGCGAAGTTCTACTATGAATGGTATTTGACCAAAAGTAACATTATTATTTTTAAAATTTCAAACAATCAAATACTTACATTTTCATCAACCGAATTAACACTCGGTCTATGAATCGATTCCTGAACGCTCAAATCAGCCTCTTCCGTTTTACTATCGTCGGGCCTCGACTCGGATGGTCTTTGGTTGTTAGGCCTGTTGGGCCTGATGCCTTCATCTTCGTTAGACGCATGCTCTTTTCCAGGTAACCTAATCACCAATGTATTCAGTCCCGTATCTATCTTATCTTTGTATCCCTGATGATGATTCTGAAAGCCTTCATGCGTCGTGTCTTTCTCTTTGACAACCGTGTGTTGGTCACTTTCCGGTCTCGGTTTTTGAAGACTCGAGAAGTCATGATGACCAGGTCTCTTCGAATCCTGATTATTCTCCTCCCATACAGGTCTTTTCGTGCTTTGAGATCCCTTTTCCGAATTGTCAGAGGATGCAGGTCTTTTGGTACTTTGAGATCCCTTCTCCCAAATTTCAGAGGAGCCAGGTCTCCTAGTGCTCTGAGAACCTTTTTCCCAAACATTAGGTAATTCTGGTCTTTTGGTACTTTGAAACTCTTTCTCCCAAGATTCAGAAGAGCTTGGTCTCTTCGTGCTCAAAGACCCTTTCTCCCAAGATTCGGAGGAACCTGGTCTTTTGGTGCTATGAGTGTTCTTCTCCCAAACTTCAGAAGTTCCTGGTCTTTTGGTGCTATGAGTATTTTTCTCCCAAACTTCAGAGATTCCTGGTCTTTTGGTACTGTGAGTGTTCTTCTCCCAAACTTCAAAGGATCCTGGTCTTTTGGTACTATGAGTATTCTTCTCCCAAACTTCAGAGGAACCTGGTCTTTTAGTACTGTGAGTGTTCTTCTCCCAAACATCAGAGGTTCCTGGTCTTTTAGTACTGTGAGTGTTCTTCTCCCACACATCAGAGGTTCCTGGTCTTTTGGTGCTGTGGGTATTCTTCTCCCAAATTTCAGAGGATCCTGGTCTTTTGGTACTATGAGTGTTCTTCTCCCAAACTTCAAAGGATTCTGGTCTTTTGGTACTATGAGTATTCTTTTCCCAAACTTCAGAGGATCCTGGTCTTTTGGTACTATGAGTATTCTTTTCCCAAACTTCAGGGGGGCCTGGTCTTTTGGTGCTATGAGTGTTCTTCTCCCAAGCTTCGGAGAGTTCTGGTCTCTTGGTACTTGGAAACTCCTTGTCCCAAGATTCAGGAGAGCTCGGTCTCTTGGTGCTCTGAGAACCCTTCTCCCAAGAATCAGAGGATCCTGGTCTTTTGGTGCTATGAGAGCCCTTCTCCCAAATTTCTGGGGAACTCTGGGACCCTTTCTCCCAGAAATTCGACGAGGAGGCGGGAACCGCAGAGGTTTGGACCCTGTCCTTGTGATCGTTCGCGGGTTTCGCGTGCGGTCTTTTTTGCAGCGGCCTAGCGGAACCGGCCGGCAGCGGTTTGTGCGGTCTGCCGGACCCTCCGGAAGACTCGAGCGTCTCGGATGGATGGTAACTCGGCCTGGCGGTGCTCGTGTCCGTGACGAGGAAGCTGGAGAGGGAGGTGAGCGTGGGCCTGGTCGACTCGTTGCCCAGCGCCTCGGCCAGGGTCGGCCTCAATGGGTCCAAAGAGGATGCTTGTTGATGATGATGGTGGTGATGGTGGTGATTGGAGACGGTGATCGCGTTCGTCGTCGTGTTGTGCACGCAGCAGCTGCCGAACATGAACGTGTCCACGCACACGCCCACGTGCGTGCCCTCAGACTTGATGCACTCCCACACGAACATGCAGGTGCCCTCCTTGGACTCTGGACCCGGGGCTCGACAGGGTTTCGGGGTGATTTTGTAACCTGTATACGCGAATATATGCAGTGTAATCTTTTGTCATTCTTTAATTTTCAGGGTTTTGCTTCGATGCCATTTTTCAAAGAGGATCGTCAAGCGGTTCAAAGTGGTTAAAGGTTAGTTTTAAGGCTTCCATCATTCTGTCACGATGGTGGTGATCGACCCATCTTGTGTGTTTTAGTGAACGAAAGAATTGCATTTCGGTGATGTAAGGAATTGTGCGAAGAAGATGGATAGATGATGGTGAAGGTTCGATAAAATTTATCGACTGTCAAGATTTTATGATAGATTCTAGGATGGAATATTAACTTTCTAAAAAGAAAATTCAATTTTTGTTAAGTATATGCTAACAACCCGATAAGTTTCATGATCGATTATCTTTCATTTCCCAACATTCGAATGCACGAAGGTTAAAAGTAGGGCAGTGAAAAATTACGGTTGTCCAATGTTTATTCGAGACTGGGGGAGATCAATTTGAAAAATGCTTGTGCTAACGATCGGTGCTAACGAGAGTGGTTCACGAATTTAATCGACGTCTGTTCCTTCATCTCCGGATACGATTCCACGTGACCTACATGACCACGCGGTGCGTGATAAGCCACCGTTTAAACGGATATCGATGCACCTCCGTAATTAACAACGGCATCCTGGGAACCTCGAGGTCGCGTCGTTCGAAGAATAATCGTTTCCCTCGTGTTCGGGGAATAACCGTCCGGATCGATAACTTACCGACCGAGCGATTCTCTTTTGGATTTCGGCCGAATCGCTAATTAACCGGGCCCGGTACCGCTGTTGGATCGAGTTCGGTAATTGGAGCGTTGTTAACGTCCCAACCTTTCGATAGAATCTTTCCTCCAGTTTCTTCTCAGTGAAAGTGCGGCGTGGCCCTTTCGTCGGGAGAGGATATTCGTGTGAAGCCGAAGGGACACACGCGCGAGAAAAAAGAAAGACGAACAAAAATGGAGGAGATAGAGACAGAGAGAGAAAGAGAAAAAAGAAAAAAAAAAGAAAGGAAAAACGGTGCGGTCGATCGTCCAAGTGTACGAGAGTACGTAGACCTGGGCCAGGTCGTTAACCGAGACAGTAAGAGCGCGTAAGCCGACGTAAATTGCCGCGGTTCTCTACCTTCACGGTCTCGCTTTCTCCCGATAAGAGCGGCGTTAATTAAAGAAAAACTTTATCGGTGGCCGACGTTCGTCTTCACAGCAGAGGGAACACAATGGGCCGAAGATTCGTGGTGGATTCACTTATTACGATTTGAGGCAATTAGGATATTATTGTATTGGTTTCAAGTAACGAAGGGTATTATTATATTGATTTTCGTGTACTTTGACCAATCATTCTCAGCCTAATTGGATACCGTTTCGAGATTCATCAAAGTGACAAAAATAGAGTAATTAATCCATGTCGTGAAAAACTTGACCACTTATTACTACTGATGTTTTCACATCAGCGATCACCTGTGAAACTGGTTCTGATTAAAAAAGGACAAGTATAAAATTTATTTTTAAATTGAATAAACTTCCCCAGTAATCTTAAGGCATATATTATCCACGTAATATACACTTTTCATTTAACCAATACTATCTTGCTTCTCGACAAATTCCATTTCCTTTAGATCCTTTTCCGTTTAGATCGAATAATAATTTCTTGAAACAAACTTTATGAAAAAAAAAAAAAAAAAAAAAAAAAATATCAAGCATTACAAGATTGTTTTCTTCGAAATATATATATATAAAAAGAAAAAAGATATCAAGCATTACAAGATTGTTTTCTTCGAAATATATATATAAAAAAAAGAAAAAAAAAAAGATAAATGCCTCGAACTTTTCATCATGGATCGACAATAATCGTTACAAATATTCCAACAGAGTTCGTTTCCAACAGAGTCGCGAGAAAGGGTAAACGTCAAACACGTCCCGTCGTGTTTGGCGGGATATTAAACGGCACATCGGTTTCTGTGTCGCGGATGATTAACACAGGGATCGTTCTCTTTCGCTGATGCACGGTTTCCCGCATTGTCCCGGCTAGTAATCAAACGGGGGGATATTAAACCGGCTCCTCGTTCACAAACGAGCAACGATACTCGGCAGGGTAATTACGTCCCGTTCGTTCGTTACGATTCTGTGTACACAACGATTCTATATCACATCGATAAACGTACGGTAGACCTATCGAAATTAAAAATATTAATCCGCTATTAATTACGAGGACGAGAAATGTCGAGGAGGAATATTTGAATATTTGTCGTGCTTGCGTAGACACTTTAAATATCGGGAACATCGGTCAACAATTTTCAGATCATCGGAATCTTCCATTCCGATCCGTGGAATTAACGAGAGAAAGAGAAGCTTTTCCATCTCTCTTTTTCCCCCTCTCTCTTTCTCGCCCGCAGAAGAAAGGAAAGAAATTAGTCGAAGAACCCTTTGTTCGCTTTCTTTTTTGACTTGCTCGCCGGCCGAGCACACGACCGAGCTGCACCTTGACCGAGTTCCTTCTTCCAATTAGGCGTTACACATTTCACGGGGAGGAAAGAGAAACACGAGGGAACGGGTGGAGAAAGGGGTGGAGGAACGAGGAAACGTTTAACGACGGGAGGGTCAAACCAGAACTGGCTACTTTTTTGCGAAAGAGTTAAGTATCCGTTTGTACAAACGATGGAAACTGTTATTTACTTGGAAATTGAGAAGAGGCCAGAGAGAGAGAGAGAGAGAGAGAGAGAGAGAGAGAGATGGGTCGATCTAAATACGCGGGACGTCAGGCATAGCATTAAAACGAAGGGAATCCGATTAATGGCCAGTTCTGGTTCGAAAGCACGCGAGAGAGTTCCATGGGCGAAGGAAGTGGTCCAGCCAAGAAAGTCGGGGAGACACGAGGAAAGGAACGCGGCGGTGAGGCTACTGAAATACTTGGGTTTAAAACCACCAAAAGGAGTATTACTGACTGTGACCTCGATTCAGCGTGCTCAGGGACCTGGCGATGCCCGACCACCAGAGAATTGTGGCCACGTAACCGATCCACCGCATCCTGATCCCTGAAATCGGAAACATCAGTTAGATACAGGTGTTTGAACCTCTTCCATCCTCCCCCCCCCGCTCCTCCCCTTTTTTTAATCCGCGAACGAGATATGAAGTTTTATTTGAAGGAATAAGATATTTGGTAGATTAAAAATTAATGGCCATTGATTTTCAATTCATCGTTCGTCGTGTGTAAAAATTGAAATCTTTTTAAATCTAATTTTTTCGCCGGATATCTCGTTATTTAAATACGAAAAATTAACATTGTTTTGACAGATGATCTCGAGAGAGGGACAAGTTGTCAAGGATAGTTCTAAAAACGGATTAATTTTCAATATTGAAGATATTTTCTGTGTCTGTAGAGATTTTATTTCAAATTCTTGTGATTTTTTGAGAAAATCAAAATTGGACTTATAGAAACGGAAGAATATGTGATCGACGAATTTTAATTAATTCAATTATCTCGAAAATATTAATTTAAAACTTGAAATAAAATTTTACTTTTCATATTTACATTAACATCCAATCCAGAAATTAGCTAGGAATTCCACAAACTTGAAAAAAACCTTCAAATTTAATTTTCTCAGAAAGTAGAGAAACTTTAGAATAGAAAATCCTATATTCGTCTTATATTTTCAATGTATTTTTTCAATAAATAACCACTTAAATCGATTTAACGTCTCAACAACAATCTACATTTCGCAGAAAAAAAAAAGAGAAAAATTTTACAAAGCGTAATATTTCTACGCGCGATTCTTTTCAAAAAAAAAAAAAAAAAAGAAGAATTCTCGATGTGTGATAAAAATTAAACATCGACGAAGAGCGGTTAACGCGCTATATCTCGGGAAAAAGTACGAAAAATAATTCGTGGCGCAGAAGAACGGACATCCAGGGTATTGTGTACGCGCGCAAGGTTAATCCTCGAGAATCATGCAAATTGCACAAGCGTTTCCACCGGTGGCACAGTTGCAAAACTCTTCTCTGATCCCATCGGGGGACTCGGCCGTGTGTGCGCGTCCACGGGTTACAACACCTGTACGACTCCGCATATTATTCCCTTCCCCGCCGATTTCCGATGCGCCGTTGCACACAGTTGCTCGCGCACTCCTCGGTTTTCTGTTACTAATAAGCGTGGCTAATGCCAAGCGTTCCTCGCGCGCCTTGGCTAGGTGCCAAAGTACGATTCCGAGGTCACATTTTCGCTCTCGATCGGTAAACGAAGCGAAATCGATCGTTATCCCCGATAACTGTTTTCTCTTTGGATTTTCATTTTATATATATTTTTTTTCTTGCGCTCTTCAATTTTTGGAATCAATAATTCATCGATTAATCAAAGTTGAAGTTGTTCCGATTATCTTTATCTCAAACTTCGATTTCGAGTAATTTTTTTAATCTTACGGAAATTTTTACCGTGCTCTTTTTCCCGAGTCGAGATATAGATAAAATAAAAACGTGCATAAAACGGATTCGCATTTCATCGTTCTTATCTTGAAATTTAATTTATTCCGGTTATTCTTATCCCTTTTGTTACACATATACACATACATACATACATACACATACACACACATATTCCGCATCCACATCTCACTCATATTTTTACTCCATCCGGGCTTACTCCATTTCAGAGTGGAGGATCAAAGTGAGGAAAATACGAGAATTTCCAACGATTCGATCCACGTATAATATCAACGCCTGATTTTTCATAACGTTATATCACTGGAACGAAATTGAATGGCGCAACAATCGCGCACACCGCTCCTTTCTATATCCCGGTCGAAAGAACTCGTCACACTGTAACGGTTTAATGAAATGTGCGATTGCACTGGACCGTTCAGCCGTGCCTTTGTACTAGAAACCTTTCACGGGATTCATAATTTTTGCGTCCGCCGTCTTATGAGCCTGTACACGCCGCGCGGTAACCTGAATTCAATGGCGGCGTAATATCGGCGTCCGTGGAGGAGGTCAGTGTGGTGTACGCGTGGAAAATCAATGGATCGCCCGTGGTGCTCTCGTCCCGCTGTGGGTGGGGTCCGCGGAGATTCAATTAAATCGACCCCTTTGTTAGCACGTGCTTGATCGTGACGAATGCCGTGCATCGAGTTTGACTTATTGTGTTAATAAGAGGCCATCGATTTTCTGTCCTTTGACTTTGACGCGAGGGTCGCCTCTTATCGAAAACTCTCGAGAAATTTTACCTGGAAATTATTATTCGTGTCAGAAAAATAAATTGGTGAAAAAAAAAAAACAAATTTCCCTATTTCCCAAAAAATATCATCCAAATTTTACAGAGGATTTTTCGCTGTGATAATATTATCCATATACTATTGTGCATTCATTGTCAAACGTGTAACAAAATTGACATAGCGAAAAATGTTTCATACTTTGGAATATATATATGTATATATATATATATATATATATACAGAGATAATATGGATGTAATCTGGATATATAGAGATACAGGTATAATTTGAAGTTTCGCGGAGCGAGAGAATGCAAGATGAAGAGAAGGCAAGATGAAAGGCGGTGAGTAAAGATTGGAAATGTAACTTGGTTACGTAAAAAAAGGTTACGTCGCGTTGAATGGAAGTGACGGAAGGGGAGGAAAGGAAAGAGGGCGAGGTGCATACGCCGCGGTGTGTGCGTCTTTATGACGGGTCATCAGCGACTATTATGCAAATAAACGAAAGAGCACGGTAGTAAAACGCAAGATATCGCGTAACGCTCGATGCCGGCCAACTTGCCAACGTTTCCACGGATGCTTGAATATTACGCGAAACTGCGTACGTACGCGTTCACGCGCGTTTACACACGAGTCGCTTCGGTCAATTAGGGTATTGATTTAACAGGATTTCCAGCCCGGCGCTGGAACTTCGACGTGAGAATGCGGGAAACGTAGTCACGCCTTGTAGTTGAAGTACCCGATATTCTCTCCTCCGTTTAGATCAATTCCTCTACCGATTCCATTCCTTTCTTTCCCTTTCGATATTACGCAAAAGAATTATTATTAGAACGTTTATACTCCAAATTGGTTACGATCAATCGATAAAACGATTCCATTTCTTTTTTCTTTCACGCAATAAGAAGAATTATTTCGTGTAATTTCAAGATATAAAAATTCTTATTATTTTACATTCCTTAAACATTTCGTCTCACTCTAGAACCTCTGTAAAAAAGCTAATATCTCTCGTTCAAGAACAAAGACACCCAATTCTCAATTTCCACCCAGTTAAAAAATTATTGTCTCGGCTCTCGCTTTTTCCCCTAAATTTTTGCAACTACGTACCACGTTTCGTCACGTTTCGTTAGCGATCGAAAGCAAAGTCGGTGATGATCGTAAAACACATGGGGCACACATGTACGTACGTAATTGAATCGGTAGCAGGTGCACCCTACCTTCGACGCGCGAAGAAAAACGCGGCGCGATTGTTGATCCCGGGGAGGAGGAGGAGAAGGAGGAGGAGGGGAAAGGAAGGAGGGGAGGAGAGAGGGAGATAGAGAGGGGGCTGGATACCGAATTCTGGTTTCGCATACCGGGTCATCGGGCTGAGTTTCGGGTGCTTTCTCGCTCGTTTTTTCGGCCAATTTGTCTCGTTGACACCGATTCACAGTCGACCACGATCCCTTGCTCGCTTTTTGCCTCGATCGGGCGGATGCGGTTTTATCGAGTCTCGTATTTCAGAAGGCGACACACGCCAGACGGGGAGTGGATGTGGCTCCGTCCGCGGATCCTCGGCAAAATCGATATCCGATAAAAACTTCTGCGCCATTGCGAAACCTTTTGCGTCTCCTTCAAATCGATTTCTCGCTTCCTTTCCAACGTTGAATGGAACGAAGGGTGTTGTGTATCATCGAGTATACATCGAGTCGAAGAATGTCCAAGCAATTTTTATAGAGGTCTCTCTCTCTTTTTTTTTTTTTTCAGTAAATCGTAAGAATAGATTTCGTATTGGGATATAAAAGATGTAAACGTGCAATAGACAATTATTGGACAATTAACGTTTATTGGAAGTGTGGTAATGGTAATCGTGAGATAATCAAGTACGTAATTGCTTGCGAGAATCTATACTTAAAATTAAAAAAATTACCGATTTTCTGTAATTTTTGCAAAGGAATATCACGTATATATGATCAATCTCGGGCTCGTATCGAGGTGTAGAGTGTCTGCTTTTACATATCCGAAATAACATTACTTCAAAGATCAATCAAAATTTATTTCCTCCTATTCCTTAAACACGATATTTTTTACAAACAAAATACCATGTTTTATCACTTCCTTAAATACCAGGATCTAAAGATTAATTTTCGAATATTAAAATGTACAAGCGTTCGAAGATCTCGGAGCTTGTTGCGCTTCCGCAGGTGGAACGTTCGAATGCAAAGTGGTCTCGGTCTATCGGCCACGAGTGTCCATACAGGTGATATTTCTCGGCTCGGCCGTTCGTTCATTATCATTTTAAGCGAATCACGGGGACGGGGACGGAGGGGAAAGGGATTACGCGCTCCTGGCGAATCGTTTAGTCTCAAAACATTGATTCGACGTGGCCTGGGCCGTGTGTCAACACGTTTCACGCCACATAAATCAACCCGGCCGATGTTTCCAACTCGCCTCGGCCACGCTTTCGAAGAAAGCTCACCCATCACGCTCGATTCGACTTGATTTACATCCGTCGTTTTACGCGAAAGCCTTTCGATCTTCTTCTTCTTCCTCCTCCTCCTCCTCTTCTCCTTCTTTTTCTTCCTCTTCTTTTTCCTTTTCTTCTTCTTCTTCTTCTTCTTTTTCTTCCCTCTGCCCGATCGCGTGCCGGCTATTCGATGACACTGAACGCGAGAAACGCTTATTTTTCGTATGCCACCAAGATTTATTATCCTCGAAATGGCGTCTGTTACTTTATCCAATCCATTTAACTGCTAATTAACTTCCGTGTTCCGATACGTTTCAGAATATAATTCGTATAGCCGTAAAGATTGTATGGAACTTTTTGCAATTGGAATTTCATTTGGTCGATTTGAA